ATTGTACAAACACTAGTTCATCAACAGGTGAATGGATAAAGAGAATGTGGTACATATATACGATGGAATATTACTCAGCCACAAAAAAAGCAATGAATTTGAGTCAGTTGTAGTGAGATGGATGAACCTCTCAGAGCCTGTTATACAGAGTGAAGTAAATCAGAAAGAAATGCAAATAGAGGAAAACAACAGAAAGGGAAAGACGAGAGATCTCAAGAAAGCTGGAACTATCAAAGGAACATTTCATTCAAAGATGGGCACAATAAAGGACAGAAACAGTAAAGATCTAACAGAAGCAGAAGAGATCAAGAAGAGATGGAAAGAATACACAGAAGAACTGCACAAAAAAAAGATCTTAACGACCCAGATATCCACAATGGTGTGGTCACTCACCCAGAGCCAGACATTCTGAGAGCAAAGTCAAGTGGGCCTTAGGAAGCACTGCTGTCAATAAAGCTAGTGGAGGCAATGGAATTCCAGCAGAACTATTTAAAAATCTTAAAAGATGATGCCATTGAAGTGCTATACTCAGTATGTCAGCAAATTTGGAAAACCCAGCAGTGGCCACAGAATTGGAAAACGTCGATCCTCATCCCAATTCCCAAGAAGGCCAATACTAAAGAACATTCAAACCACCAGACAATTGCACTCATTTCCCATGCCAGTAAGGTTATACTCAAAATTCTGCATGCTAGGCTTCTGGATTATGTGAACTGAGAATTTCCAGATGTCCAAGCTAGGTTCAGAAAAGGCAGAGAAACCAGAGATCAAATTGCAAACATTCACTGGATCAGAGAAAGCAAAGGAATTCCAGAAAAACATCCACCTCTGTTTCACTGACTATGCTAAAAGCCTTTGACTGTGTGGATCGTAACACTGAAAAACTCTTAAAGAGATGGGGATACCAGACCATCTTACCTAGCTCCTGAAAAACCTGTATGCTGGTCAAGAAGCAACAGTTAGAATAGAAAACAACTGACTGATTCAGGCTTGAGAAAGGAGTCTGACAAGGCTGTTTATTGTCACACTGTTTATTTAACTTAGATGCAGAGCATATCATGTGAAATGCTGGGCTGGATGAGTTACAACCTGGAATCAAGATTCCTGGGAGAAATATCAACCACCTCAGATACACAGCTGATACCACTTTAATGGCAGAAAGCAAAGAGGAACTAAAGAACCTCTTGATGAGGGTGAAGGAGTAAAGTGAAAGAGCCAACTGAAAACTAAATATTAACAAAACTAAGATCATGGCGTCCGGCCCCATCACTTCACGGAAAACAGAAGGGGAAAGGTGAAAGCAGTGACAGATATCCTCTTCCTAGGCTCTAAAATCACTGTCGATGGTGACTGCAGCCATGCAATTAGAAGACGAATGCTTTTTGTCAGGAAAGTTATGACAATCCTTGACAGTGTGTTAAAAAGCAAAGACATCACTTTGCTGACAAAGGTCTGTTTAGTCAAGGCTATGATCTTTCCAGTAGTCACATATGGTTGTGATACCTGGACCAAAAAGAGCACTAAAGAATTAACTGATGCTTTTGAACTGTGGTGAGGGAGAAGACTCTTTAGATTCCTTTGGACAGCAAGGAGATCAAACTAGTCAATCTTAAAGGAAATCAATTTTGAATACTCATTGGAGGGACTGATGCTGAAGCTGAAGCTCCAATACTTTGGCCACCTGATGCAAAGAGCCAACTCACTGGAAAAGACCCTGATGCTGGGAAAGACTGAAGGCAGAAGAAGAGGGCGACAGAGGATGAGATGGTTGGATGGCATTACTGATGCAATGGACATGAACTTGAGCAAACTCCTGGAGATGGTGAGGGACAGGGAAGTCCGGTGTGCTGTAGTCCATGGGGTCACAAAGAGTCGGACATGACTTGGCAACTGAACAACAACAAATCAGAAAAACAAACATCGTATATAAGGCACACATATGGAATCTAGAAAAATAGTAATGATCAACCTATTTACAGGGGAAAAATGGAGATGAAGATGTGGAAAGCATACTTGTGGACCCAACAGGGGAAGGAGAGGGTAGGATGAACTGAGAAAGTAGCACTGATATATATACACCATTGATGTGTAAAGCAGGTAACTAGTGGAAAGCTGCTGTGTAAAACAAGGAGCCCGCCCTCGCACTCACTGACCTAGGGGGTGGGATGCGAGCGAGCAGGGAGGCTTATGAGGGAGGCGATATATATATATATATATATATGACTGATTACCTCTTGTTACACAGCAGAAACCAACACAACACTGCAAAGCAATTATCCTCCAATAAATAAAGGTGATACTGAAAATAAAAGGGTGATTCAAAGAGCTGCTGTCACTTACTGAACACTGCAAAACATTAGAGATGCAAAGCTTTGACTTGAGACCACCACATAACATGAAGAATACCCAATGATCAAAAATCTCTACCCTGAAGAGGCCATTTACCAACCTTTCAGTTATAAAAGTACACTGTAAATATGTAATTAAATGTCTTCGATGAAATTACTACTCAACAGTGGAGACTTTAAGATTTTCATTTTATTAAAAATAGAGCAACACAACAGCAGCAGCATCTGATAAATCTTCACTAGTACCATTTGGAAGTAGTCCTACTCACATAAATATACACCACCTATGCAGTACCTTTTTTTTACATTTTAAACCCTTCCCTTGATAATCCATATAGCATTATGTAAAAAATAGCACTACTGTATTAAATCTAGTTAAGATGGAGAAAAGTAATATCTAACTGCTAAACTGAACTACCTATACAACTACACAGTACACCCAAATATAACCTTCTGTGGAAATTAAGAGAATTCTGTAGTTTCCCAACAGTTTTTTGCCTACCAGTAACCTTAAATGGCAGAACAATCTCTTCAACTCTTAATTCTCTCAACATGAATTTCATGAATTTGAACTTACAGATATAGTTAAGAAATTATCTACCTAGCAAATAGAAGTTAATCAAGAATGAAGGCAACTATTATTCTTATTCCAATCCTCAGAAAGGAAATCTTACCGGTAAAATTTGTGAAGTTTTATAAAAGTTGGCAAGTCTCAAAATTAAAATGTTACAAAGTAAATTTAAAACTCAGACAACAGACTAAAAATCTAAGAACAATATGTTAAGAAATGCTGCATTATATATAAACTAACAATTGTAATAAATTGATTGCTAGAAACTATAAAAGTACCTTAAAATGAAACAGAAAGAAATCTAGTTATTAGTTTCTAAATCCCACCTAGTAATAACAGCTTTAGCTTTTATTTTAAAAATTATGTACCAATCTTTGGCAGAATCACCAATAAAAGTGTATTTAAGAAAAACAAATTCACCCACAAACCCAAGATTAAGTAGGGAAGTGAATTTTATTTTTAAAAGATTATATTATTACATTTATACTTGACTCCTGCTTCCAGAAATATCACTTAGCCCTTCTGAGAGCACTAACCTCTGAAACTTAAAAATCAACAATTTAAGTGACTGTTACATTACTGAATAAACATGAGAAAATACTAAGTAAATATATAGTAGAAGTTCTTTTAAAATCTTTAAAACACCCTAAGGAACATAATTACTTTGTGGAAATGGCTCTACTTCATAAGCGACCCAATTAAAACCAGATACTCCTTTCAATAAAAATATAAGAAATATTTCATTGAAATGTTATTCAATACAACGCTCAGAAAGAATTCATTTTAACTGCCAATTCAACTACTAAAGAAAGATTTAAATCAAATCATCCTAAAAGACCCTGATGCTGAGAACGACTGAAGACAAAAGGAGGAGGAGAGGGCAGAGAATGAGATGGTTGGCCAGCATAACTGACTTAACGCACATGAACCTGAGCAAACTCTGGGAGACAGTGAAGGGCAGAGCCCAGCGTGCTGCAGTCCATGGAGCTGCAAACAGACCGACTCCACTGAGTGACTGAACAACAACTGTTCCAAATTTTTAAACTTTTAAAAGCCTATTGTTACATACTATATTCCTTAAATTTGAATGATAGCTTCAGTTGGGACCAAATTTGCCGCCAGATTCGTTTCAAATACAGAAACCCATATAACGTATAAGAATGAATGAGGATACTGAGGATGACTAATATCACAAAAGAAGTTATTTTCTTAACCAAAAAAAAAAAAAAAAAAAAAGATTCTAAATGCCAGTTTTTACTTTTAAATGTCAAAATTTAACTCTTGGATACTTCTCAAGATCAATGTAGCAAATACTGAGTACCTTGGAAAATAATTCTAAACAGAAAAGCACAAGCTGACCAGTGTATTTTTTAACTATGTGTTAATTAGACTCAATGGAAAATAATGAGACAGCTGCAGAAGTTAAGGGTTTATACTTGATTCCTCACATGAAACTGGCTAGCTTATAAAGGAACATCGTTTATTACCAGTTAAGTGTACACTGCTGAAGAACAAAAACAGAAGGCCCAACAGAATTTGTCTAGAATGATAAAGAGCAACTACAACTTAAGGGACAGAACATACTCGCCATGTAATCAAGCTGAAACAGATAACTTACAGCTGGCATCAAGTATAAAATGCTGTCTTCTTGGCCTTACCTCAAGTTTTCCTGACATCTACCTGGGGTGAAAAAGACAGCTTTAAAAAAACAATGAAGTACCTTAAAAGAAAATAATAAACAAATGAAAACGTATCAGCCCTTATAAGTGAACAAAGAGAAAATCTTTTTCACTCACACACACACACTCTCTCTCTCTCTCTCTCTCTCTCTCCCCGTCACCCTCCCTTCCTTACCTCTAGACCCCTAGAAAGTTTTGCTTCCCTAAGCCTGTTTAAGAAAATGACTTCACGTTCTCTGGGCCTCTGGTATTCCTACTCATGCCCAATTTTTATAAATCAGTGTCTTTTAAGATTAGTATGGTTATCTTAAAGCTGAATAAATATCATCAGGAAGAACAATAATTGGCACCAGGAACCAAATTACATATTTTAATTACCAACTAACCAAACATTGTACAGAGTACAAGAAAATACTCAAAACTTTAAATGACTGCTTTATAGACACCACACAAACATGCATACCAAAACAATCTCCATAGCTATGCCAACTAAAACAAGAACAGGATAAACCTAAGATGCTGTTTTGAAATGCATAAACAAATATTTTCCTCTAAAATACTTAGCTTTATTAGAGAAATGGTACTAAAAATAACAAAGATTCAAACAACATTTGTTCTATTCTACTTACATATCATAAATAAGAAGCTTTGATGCAAGACACACACTCCTTCAATCTTTCCATATGCACCCAAGCATTCCTGTATCAAAATAAGCTGTTTACCAGCCAACCGTATGTGGTTGAATGATTAAAATGACCATCTATACTTTACATAGTAAAGCATTTTCAAAAATTTTAATGTACATAGTGACAAAGAGAAAAAAAAAACACAGTAATTGTGAACACATGAAGAGTAGTTAAGCAGCTTCATAATCAAACCAGGCTTCATTATTTGCAATTAGGGCAATTCCTTCCATTCTCCGCCAAATACTTAAGTTTCAATAGTATTAACATTAAAAGAAAACTCAAGTTGAAACCAAGTAACTGATGTGTTACTCAGCTCTTTAAATCCATAAGTACTCTTCCCATGAGGTAAGGCAACTGAGTAATTTGATTGTATTAGACTGCATTAAAATAATTATACTTGATTTTTTTTTAAGTAACATGCTAATTAAAAGGCATAACATTTTGAAATATAACAATGAAAAGAGTTCTGAAATATAAGTTGTGGTTTGGGGGAAAGTATTAGCAATGTTGTCATTTTACTACTTGCATACTTTCTGCAAAAAGTGTGCCTAACAATGTAGGATGACCTATATTTTAAGCTTAAGTAAACATACTTTACACATAAAACAAATAACCGCATGTACTCTCCTTAAGCACAATTTCAGCACATCATTTATGAGAAGATGATTGAGAGGTAATAATTAAGGCCATCCAATGTAGACAACTAAAGGGTCTTGCTTTAAGTAAAATAAGAACATGCTGCTTCATTTTCAATTATCACAGTATAAAACTGATGGTCCCAAAACTGCACTGTTGTTTAAGCGCTAAAGTCATTCTTAAAAACAGACTTCCCTCTCATATTAGGTAAGTAAGAAGCTCTTCTGACATATCACTTTCACACTTTTCTATGGGAGGGAATGGAATACCCATCTAAATTCCATATGAATTGAGAATGACCTGCTCATATAAAATTCTAGAAAACAGTATACCACATTGTAGAAGGCACTAAAGCTTCAGCTTGTGCTCCCATAGCCCATTTTGAAAACCCAGCTTTCTTTTTATAAATGGCACCTTACCACCTACAGCTGACAACACACACTGCAATATTGTTCATAATAAGCTCGGAAATGTCAAGAAAGTTCAAAAAGAAATGCTTACTATGTGGGGAGACCCAATGATTCTAAACACTGAATACTAATATGTCATTAGTATTCAACACAGTTGTTCTTCCTTTAAAAAGAGAACAGTAGCATGCATTGTCAGTTGGTTTGTAATCCACTTATTTAAGCAACTTTAATCTGTAAAATTATTTTAAAGAAAAACCACTGTCCTAAACTGCCAGCAAAAGAAAACACAATAGTGAGAATTTAACACAATCACTATAAATCCTGTGAAGTAAATGTTAAAACTTCTTACAAACTCTGCACTTACAAGGGTGTGTACATATTTGCACCGATTTCAAGCACATTATCAATCTGTATATATTGAAATTAAAAAAAAAGTAAAATAATACAAAATCAGTTTCTAGCATTTCTTAAAAGAGCCTCCAAAGCTTATCTCCAGTCTTCAAGGATACTATAACAAATTTAGATCTTTAATGTCCCATTTATTTGTAACAGTTCTTGGCAAACACTAACAAACCACATGACACCTGTGTCAGCCACCATGGAGATGCACAGATTTCAGAAGATGAGGAGTTTGGGTCACACCTGTTATTTTCATGATGTCCATGCTTTGTTTTCTTACTCAGTAACAAGATGGCCACAAAGTCACCTAACAACTAGAAAAGCCGTTAGCTCGTATCTTTATGCTCTACTGGGTGTCTCCAGTCTAACATCTTGTTGAGAGAATGAAAAGCTCTGGATTCTATCCCAGCGTGTGTTCAGGTGCGTCTGCCGGGCCTATACCGCTTCCGCTTTGGCAGAGAGGTTTTCCTCGTTGGGCTGACAACTCCCATTCTGCTGCACTTTGCTTTCCTCAGTCCTTGGTGCATCCTTGTCTTCTGCTTCTTTGCCCACACTTGAATCTGGTTCTTTATTGTGCTCCTTCTCCTACAATGAGTATTTAGGTAAACATTTAATATTTTTCTCAAGAGCTGCCAGCTGTTACATCTAGTTCTAGCTAAAATATGTAACTTTACCTTTTGTGAATTAGTCAAACTGGGTATCTTCCCCATTTACCTTTTCAAATAAATAGTATATGCAAACATGTATTGATATGTCCTTTGTACTTCTAAAATGGGACAATCCATGGAGTCTAAGGTAGAATAAAATAGGTACACAGAAATTCTACAGAAGAATTCAACGAACATTGCTGCCTGACTTGAAAAAGTGGAAGAGATCTGCTGAAGGTAAAATAATTCATTCCCATAGAGGCCAGGATAGATGTAATCTGGATACCAAATAAGCAAAAACAAGGGAATGTAGAAAAGGAACTATTCTTCCTACCAAAGACTGTTCAAGAACGGTCCAAATTCAGTCCTTAACCGAGAATTAAAGAGGACATGTGGAACAGTGTCTGGAATGTATCAAGTGTTCAGGAGATATTATCAATGTTACTGACAATGATGATAAACTTCTAGCAGTATGGCAATAAATAAAACTGTAAGATGAAAGCTCCAGAACTCATAAAACACAAATATTACTTACCAGCATAAGGAAAATAACCTATTTCACAAGTATTTACAATATTTATCCCCCTCTCCCCCAAAAAATCCTTACTTGATGGAATTTGGTTTCCATTAATTATTCTAACTCAACAAACCTAACAATTGGTATATTATCACAAAACCAATGATAACATCATCTGTCAAATTTGCTAAAACAAACACAGTGAGGAAAATGGCAGCAAATAGAAATATTCCTGTACACTGTTAAAATTTTTATTGTATGCCATTCTGTGCAATTGTTTATACTAGTAAACATTAATTAGTTCTTATCTTCAAAACCTAGGTGAAAAAACTACTGATAAAACAAAGATTAAACAAGTAGTACCAGAAACACTGCTGCCTTCAAGGAGCTTTGTCTAAAGTTACTACCTCTATGAAATAAAGAACAATCTCATATTAATTATTTAAACCCTAAACATGCAAAGACTTGCTTACTTTAAGTGAAGTATTGTTCTTCTCTACCTTGTCCTTCCCTTCTCTGTCATTAGAGCTCTTTCTTGTAGAAGCTGAACGTTCTCTCTCTCTTCTTTCACTGATGTGGTCCCTTTCTTTTTCTCTCTTTTTATCCTTCTTATTTCTGCTGTAAGAGTATTAATAATGTCAGTTAACATCTTAAAAAGTAAACACCCAGTATACTGTTAACTAAATACTCTAATCTAATAATAACGCATGGTAACAAGCATAACAGTAACCTGGTAGACCAAGCAACATAAATGAGTCCTGAAACTCACCAACTCAATCCCACAGCCAGTTAACTTTTTAAAGACACACAATCATTTCTGCAGAGGCACAATTTTGTATTACCAGTTTCTTAGTTTTTAAACATTCAAGGTTTATTTATCTACTGTAATTAGGATAAAACAAAATCAAATACATAATGCTTTTACCCATTTTTTTCAAAGCAAAAAATGAATAAGCAGAAAATAATAAAAAAGATAAAATAATCAGATAAGGCTGAATGACTTCTCAGGCAAGATCATGACTTACAAAAACCTGAACTTCAAATCATCAATGACACCATGTGCCCTCCTCTCATTCACAAAGTCCCACCCACCAATTCAAGAGGAAAAGTTAAGCAGAAAATAGACAGAAGGCGTTCCATTTGCAAAAACAACATATCCTTAAAATCAGAGGGGAAAAAATGAGGCACTTCATATCAGAAGCATAACAAGACATCTTCAACTCAAAATAATTAACCCTAATATAGAATTGTCTTAATTATGAGTAGCTTAAAAATAAATACAAAGACCAGGTAAACGAATAAAAACACTTAAGAAACAGACCCAAGTACATATAAAAATTGAATAAAGCATCTCAAATCATAGAGGAAAAGATGGTCTTTTATAAATAAAAGACCTGGGTACAACTGGATTATTATTCAGAAAGTGATAAAAGTGGGTCCATATCTCATTCACATATATAAATCCAAATGGATTAGAGACCTAAATTTTTTAAATGAAATAATACAAGTACTACAAGCAAACATAATTGAATTTCTAATTTGAATGAAAGGGAAGATTTTTTAACCATAACTAAAATTCCAAGTACAATAGAAGATTCATACATATGCCTACATAAACCTTTGCAAAGCAAAGCAAAAACACACTGCTAGCATATCCAAAAGAAAAATGACAAACCAAAAAAAATATTCATAACATACTTATGTATATGTGTTTATCTTTACATATAGCTCTTAAAAGTCAAGCAAACAACTGCAAAAAGAACGAGATTCCTTAGCAAAATATTTAACCAAAAGGGTAAAAAATTTGCCAAAAGAAATAAATGCATAAATAAAATGGAAATACGAACCATGTTCGTGAATCAGAAGACTTTTAAATAGAGTTAAGGTAACAACAGCATTCAACGTAATCTACAAATTTATTGCAATCCCCATCTAAATCGCATCAGCATTGTTAGCAGAAATAGAAAAAGCCCATCCTAAAAATCATACAGACTCTCCAGGGACATCAAATAGCCAAAACCATCTTTAACAACAAAATCCGAAGACAGTTCCTGATGTTAAAACTTATTACAAAACTACAGTAAGCAGAACTTTTCTTGGTGGTACAGTGGGTAAGAATTTGCCTGCCAATGCAGGGGACATGGATTTGATCCCTCGTCCAGGAAGATCCTACAACACTGTGGAGCATCTAAGCCAGGTGCCAGCACTGCTGAGACTGCACGCTGCAGTTACTGAAGCTGCAAACCGAGAGCTGTGCCCCGCAACGAGAGACGCCACCACCATGAAAAGCCCACGCACTGCCACTGGAGGGCAGCTGCCACTCTCCCCAGCGAAAGGAAGCCCAAGCAGAGCAACGAAGACCCAGAGCAGCCATCAATAAATAAATACCTGTACACAAATGTTCACAGCAGCATTATTTACAATAGCAAAAAACCCGGAACTACTACTAAATGTTCATCAACTAATTAATGGTTAAATAACAAAACCTGGTTTTATCCATTTATTGGAATAGTACTCATCCATTAAAAAGGAATGAAGTACTGATTCATGCTATAATATGTATGAACCTTGAAAACATTACATTCAATCAAAGAAGTCAGATACAAAACCACACATACTGTGAGTCTATATGAAACGGCCATAATAGGCAATCCAGAGACAAGAAGCAGATTAGTGGCTGTCTGGAGCCATGGAGAGTAACTGCTAATGGGTACAAGCTTTCTTATGAAGTGAAAAAAATGTTCTGGAACTAGCAGTGATGGCTGCACAAAATTGTGAACTCTTGAGAAAAATGCAACAAAAATTACTAAACATCACAGAAATGTACATTTAAAAGGGTGAATTTTATGTTATGTAAATTACTTCTCAATTTAAGAAATTTTAAGTCAAAATGGATCTGACATTGGGTAGAGAGTCACTGACCACACACACACACACACACACACACACACAGAGTATATATAGTAAACGCTACCTTTTGGAAGACAAGGGAAAATTCAAATACATGTATCTGCTTAATTTTGCAAAAAAAGAAACACAAAGAAGGATAAAATAATTTATCACTTATAGAAAGTGGATGTTAAAGTAGAAGAAATCCTGAAGGAAGTGAAATGTTCTAAATATATCTTTTTGTCTAATTAGAGCTTACAGTTGATAAAAGTTTTTACTTTCGTGAGCAAAGTATTTTTTTTCCATTTATTTTTATTATAGTGAAGAATTTTTTAAAAATTTGCCCCCCTCCTCAATATCCTACACCTTCCTTTTATTCTCATCTAAAAATAATAACCCACAAACAAATAAACAAAAGATCTCTGCTGGGGAACATGTTCCTTCTACTCTGGGCAAAACTTTTTATAAATTTCTCTTTTCTCTACCTGGAAAACCAATTGAAAAACTATGACCCATTAGCAAGATAGTGGGATGAAAAAATACATATACAGAAATCACTAACCTTCCTATGTATAAACCTAATCTCCAATTATATGACATAATGAAAGACTTCATTTACAAGAACAAAAAAGCAACATATATCTAAAATTAGACCTTGAAAATGCATAAAATCTGTTTGAAATAAACACAGAAACATTCATAAAAAACACTAAGGATGGCCTGAATAAGCCATGTTCCTGGAGAGAAAGACTCACCTTCATAAAGTTTTATTTATTAATAAATCTATTCATCAATTTCCCCATTAATAAATTTAATAATACTATAACACAAATTATCGGTAGGTTTTACTTCTAGAACACAGTCAAACTAACCATTAAGCTCAAACAGAAAAATAAACACACAAGAATGATCAAAAAAGCTCAAAAAGAGAGAAATGAGAAAGCTCAAAAAAGAGAAATGAGAGGTATGGAAAAGTGTGTGTGTGTGTGTATGCATGCGCGCACACGTGTGTGTGTGTGCGCACACGTGCGCACTCAGTCATGCCCGACTCTATGTGACCCCACAGACTATAGCCCGCCAGGTTCCTCTGTCCATAGGATTCTCCAGGCAAGAATATTGGAGTGGGTTGCCATTTCCTACTCAAAGGAATTTTCCTAACCCAGGGATGGAACCCGCGTCTCTTATATCTCCTGCACTGACAGGCGGATTCTTTACCAACTGTACCACCTGGGGAAATAAAGACCTTACTAACTATTTTAAAATACTATACAATACGTATAATTAAAAGCATGAGGAACTACTGGTACGCAATCATCAGTCAAGCCAATCCAATACCACATAAGGCCCAGAAACAGACGCCAACACAAGCAGGAAAGTTTAGTATATGACAAAGGAAACATGGAATAAGTGTCAAGAAAATTGGGTTTTTAATGATATTGGAAAACAAAGAAGCATTTGGAAAAATAAAATTGTATCCATGTGCCATATTGCAAACAAGGATAAACTCCTAATGGATCAAAGATGTAAATGCAAAAATTAAAAGTATAAAAGTACAAAAAAAGCAATGAAGGAATTTTACTATAATCTTGGAATAGGAAAGACTTTTCTACCTGTAAGACTCAAAATGGAAAAGTCACAAAAGAAAAAAACTTGAGGAATTAAACTATATAAATCAAAAATATCTATAAAATTAAGTTTCAAACAATTTCTAAGAAATGACAAACTAGGAATAATACTTGAAACCAAGTCACTGAAGAATCACCTCTGCAATACAGAAAAAATTTCTGAAAATAGAAAAAATAAAAACAGACCCCATAAAAAATGGGCAATGTATACAATTCACAGAAAAGGAAATACAAATGGCCTTCAAATATATGAAGAGATGGTCACTTCACTCTTAAGAAAAATGCAATGAAAATTACTTTATACTGGTACCATTTCTCATCTATAGATGGACCAAAATCCACAGCTTTGGAAACAATTTGCAGGAGCTATAGGGAAACAAGCATCTCAAACTGCAGCTGGTTAAAGTGCAAGCTGCCACTAACCTTTATAAAGGACAATACAGAAGGAAGTATCTCAAAACTACAAAAACACTCACCCTCTGGCCCACCAATACCATTTACAGAAACTGTCTCTGCACACTGGTGTCGTCCACAAACTGGCACTTGCCAAGGGTGCTTGCCATCTACCTCTACAAGGATTAAACCATGTTCTGCTGCAGCTGCTGACCTCCAACACCCTCTGAGGAAGCCCAGGGTGGAAAGCAGAAATGAGGCACTGTGCTCTGGGAAAACTGACACAACAGATCTTCATAGAGTAAGATATTTTCAGGAGCCGATTTTATGAGCCCAGTTCTACTCACATAGCCCAATATCTACTCATATCTAGAAATGCACTGAAGCCCTTCACGGTGACGACTGTTTCTTGTGACTAGCAAAGTTTCACAAGACCAGAAGAAACTTTCTAAAAAAGTAAAAATAAACACGCTTGACTGCACACACTCTCCCTTTACCACAATCACATATATTCTGTCCTCCTCCCCGCCTCTCTGGAGCAGTTTCTCAGCGCTGTCCAAGGGGCTGTCTCCCAGGGTGCAGTCCTCATGTTGCCCCAAACAAAACAACTCACAACTCTCACACTGTGCATTTTTTTAAGTTGACACTGGCACACTACAAAATTATGTAAATACAAAGCTATTCATTACAGACTTATATAATTTATAAAAAGAAAATTAAGAGAACCTATTCTACTGTAGGCTGGTTTCATAACAGACAACAGAAGACCATGCAATTGTAAAAAGGGATGAGCAGTACTCTGGTGAATACAGAAAGTTCTTCTGGTAGTTAAATGACAAAAGCAACTGTACAACAGTGTACATTTGGCACTACCTTTTGTAGAAGATGAAAAAAACATTATATATTCTCAAAAATAAAAAATTATATATTCTCATCTGCTCCTATATACAAAACTGGAAGGATATACCAAAAAAACTAATACAGTCGTTACTTGTGTGGACAGGATAGATGGACACATCATGGAAGTTAAGATCTATTTATAACTTTTGTATTCTCCAGATTTCTAAACCAAACTAATATATTGTTACTCATTCAAAATATAAAGTTATAAAAGTAATAGACTGAAAAGAGATAATTTCCCCCTGCTTCCTCCTCAGTTCTAGAACATGCTTTCAACCTACCTCCTGGGGGATGGAGACCTAGAAGATTTCCTTTTTATGGTTTTTGATGTTCTTGGTGATCTGGAAGAACTCCTGCTCCTCCTCCTACGCCTTTCCCTAAAAGTAAAAAATATGTCATTTTAAAAACCAGTAATTCCAGTAATATTAATTCAAATACACAAAAGCAAAAGGGTCTGGAATGCTCTCAAGTGAAGAGTATTCTGTAAAGGTCAGTTTAAACTAATGTCTTTCATGAAAACATTCTATCATCTAATTTTAGTACAGGTCAAATGATGAACCATAAATTCAACAGACCCGTGAAAATATCTCTAAGATTTCATATTAGAAAGATGATCTCCTTTACATGTGATTTATTTGGACAGCAATTTCTAGAGCAGAAAAAATATTAATGGATGTTTCATATTCTCTCTTACGTTAAACATATTTTCCTCCTCAACACCTAAAGCATGTTGCTTTCCAGATCCCGCCATGCATCTAGCTCCTTGCTGCCCCACTGTGGATTATTTTTTTAACAAGTTAATAGGCCCTTTTCAAGAAGTGAAAAATAAATAGGCTTGCAACATACAGACTTTCTAAACCCAAGTATGCAGAATGCCTCTTTAAGGAGTATTTACATTAGTTCACTTCACAGAGAAACTGCTTTTACCCCCTCAACCACCTATCACTTCATTATTGTTGTTCTAGTCATTTAAAATTGAGCATACAAGTTACTTAGATATAAGGAAATTACTTAAAAACTGGGATTTAAATATAATGAAGTAAAAAATAATTATTAAATAAACAAGATTATTAAAAACTTTATTAAAAACTGTTTTGCTTCACATATTACTGAATGACCCATACTTTTAATAATAATTTTACATGTGTTCAGTCACTAAGTCGTGTCTAACACTTTGCAACGCCATGGACTGTAGCACACCAGGCTTCCCTGTCCTTCAGTATCTCCTAGAGTTTGCTCAAATTCATGTCCACTGAGTCAGTGATACTATCTAACAAATTACTTCATTTCTAAGAGTGGTCAACTTAGAAACAATGAACTGCAAGATGTCTATTATTCGGGTGATGAGGTATGAGGATTTCTTTCTTAAATGACTAATGTAGCCAACGATCTATCTCACAAAAAGCTTTGATGATAAGTGGCCACAGAACTGAAACAACCAAATCCTCTAGACTTCAAGTTCTCCTTATATGTCAGTAAGTTGATTCCAGGCTAATAAAATATTTTGTGTACATTTTTCATCTATAAAATAAAAAACCAGACAATGCTTATATGTAGTATACACAGTAGATGTGAAGACTGAAAGAGTTCAAGAACTTTGAGTACACAAATTTCTGCTCTTCCTAAGGTTCTTGCTTCCATTACCTAATTTTATCTCCAAGTCACCTAAAATTATACTTCCTACTGTGGAAATTAGATGACATTACTCCATTCAATCAATATGATTCTGTAGCAGCACCCCTCCCCCTACCTCACACACTAGGAGTAACTTTTTTCATAGCATAAGAATGTCAGTGTATCCCATTTTATACAAAATGGCTCCATCTTCATCAGTGTCTCTTTACGTGTATTTCAGGAACACTATGTATGGGTGGACATCTAATAACTACCGGTTAGCAGTGATGAGAGACAGGCTTGATAGACAGCCATCCAGGATGTCAGTTAGTTGAAAAAGAAGCTATCAGCGCTAGTATGCAGAATTGGAGTTAAATAGGCTGACGTTTAAATTTTAGTTTCACACTTAACCAGCTGCATGACTGGGGTCATATTACTTAATCTGAGTCTTAGTTTTTCCAATGGATAAATGGAGATAATAACTCAAGCCTCATTGTGCTGTCATGAGGATTAGGATAATATCTGTAAAGTACCAAGCCTAATGTCTGGTGCACAGGAGGTGCTCAATAAATTTTTTCTTTCCCTTTGTTGGTCTAATTCTTATTGACTGTAATTTCAAGCATTATTCTTAAATATCAAAATTTTTTCTTTAAAAAACGTAGCTCAGAAGACAACGTTGGAAATAAAAACACCAAGTAGACTATCTTCCTCAGCAGTTAACAGGTTTCCTATTCACTAAACAAATCAGAGCAGCTGAAAGGAAGAAAAATGCTAAAAGAAAATTTAAAACTCTTCACTAAGCTCTTCTGAAAGCATGAATCATTTCAAACGACTGAACCTTTAGGAACCAACATTAGTCAGCATTTATTCTCCAGGCCCCCAGAGGTTATCTAAGAACTGAATGTGACTATCTACACTTTCTTTAACAACAAGCATGAAAAAATTAAACATTTTGAAGTCATCAGAAAATGTAAATTCAAATGAATTTGAAAAGAATCAGGACACTATTTGGTGTTGTGAAAGGCATAAACATAAACATCAAGGAATGTGTGAAACACAACCAATAAAATAACTACAGTAAAGACACCATAAGGCTTAATTGATACCCACAGCAAATGAGTGAAATTATTCAGGTTTTGTTTCAATGTGCTGAAATATAGCAAAGATCTACTAATTTGAAGTTCCATTTTAACATATACTGCTGCCTTCAACTTTATACTTCTGAAGAATTTTTTTAAAAGCCAGTACCAAGTACTAGTTAGTCTTCATTTAAACAATTACAGAAGAGAAAGAGCTACTGTACTACCATGCTTCTAACTAAAGTGCAGAGCAGATGGAAAATTTCCTCTGAGCTTTGGTTTCTTCATGTTTTAAAACCATAACAGTCTTCTCACAGGCTTACTGTGAGGATTAAATAAGATTAGTCATGAAAAACTCCGTTGAAGACACAAAATCTGCATATGGTAAAGCACTCAATAAATGCTAGAAAATTATCTTCAATTAAGTAACCAAAGACTAGCATTAAGAATAAGCTATTAAAACACAAAGCAAAAACATTAGGAAATGCACATGCCAGTCTCAAATTATTCTCTATGAAAAACCTTTTAAAAATATCTTTAAAATTTGCTAAAATATGTTTTTAAGTATTTTTAAGATACAGTTTTTAACACAACTTAGGAACTTCCATTTGTTTATAGTGACAATATCATCTGGAGCAATGGATACAGGTTGAGATGATCTTGAACTAAGGAAGGTCCTCGTTTGCTGCTGTTACTATGGCAACCTGCTGCCACCTGGTGGCAGCGTGCGTGTGTGTTAGGTTGCTTCATCTGACTCTTGGCAACCCTCTGGACTGTAGCCCACCAAGCTCCTCCGTCCATGGGATTATGCAGGCAAGAATACTGGAGTAGGCTGCCACGCTCTCCTCCAGGGGATGTTCCCAACCCAGGGATCGAACCTGTGTCTCTTATGTCGTCTGCACTGGCAGGTGGGTTCTTTACCATTAGTGCCACCCGGGAAGCCCTGATGGCAGTGCTCCTAGAGTTAAATTTACTGCTCATTTCAAAGAAATATAGAAGCCTAAAAAGCAGTCAACTTTTCCACATAAAACCAAATCCAAAATAAAAAGCTTGCCCCTGCCATCCCACCCTCCAAGAAAATAATAAGCAACAGCAACAACAGTCACTGGCATCACTGCCAGGTTAAAGCAGTGGATTACAAGGGACAGTTAAGTTTTCAAATAACTATGCCCAATACCATCTCTTCCTCCTCACTGATTCAATACTGTAGCAAGCCCTCTGCTAGAGAAAAGTTCTACCATTACTGTACTGGTTCCATGTATAACAATATTTTCCCTCTCACTTAAAACTGTCATCAGTGAGCCTCTTGGTAGAAAGCTGAAGCATTATCAAACCTGCTGGAACTACGAGATCTTCTTGATGCATTGTAACTTCTGGGTGGTGTTCTGGACTTTTTATCCTTCTTTCTTTTCTCATCTATCTCTTTGGATCTGTCCTTTTCTCGTTCCTTTTCTTTGTCTTGTTCCTTCTCCTTTTCTTTGTCTCGTTCCTTTTCATGGTCTTTGTCCCGCTCTCTCTCTTTGTCCTTCTCTTTGTCCTTGTCTTTATCTCGGTCCTTTTCCCGTTCTTTATCTCGGTCTTTATCTTTGTTTTTACCCCGTTCCTTTTCTTTTTCACGTTCCTTTTCCCTGTCTCTCTCTTTTTCCCTTTCCTTTTCTCTATCTTTTTCTTTCACTCTTTCCTTTTCCTTGATTTTTTCTCGGGTATCTTTTCTTTTGTCCCTTTAAAAATAAAAATAAATAAATAAATTCACAACTAAAATAATTCTACTCCCCAAAAAGGACCTGTTTCCTCAACAATTATCAATACAAAACAACTGATAACAGCTATAAGACATTACATACAAATGTCTACATAATTTCTATGTACATGAAGCTAAATGAAACAATTACCAGGCTGAATTAAGTCTGGAAATCTCATGAGTCATACTAACCATCATATTCAAATCAATGACAATCGACATTAAATTATTACTTAAACAATCAGAAAAAAAGTTTAATTTCTTTCATTAAAATTTTAAACCACAACAGATTTTTAACAAATGAGGTCATGAGAAAACTACCCTTAAATTCAAAAAACTCACCGTGAACGTGAGCGACTCCTTGACTTTCGCCTCTCCCTTGATTTAGAGCGTTTTTTATGAGGGCTCTTAGATCTACGTCTATCTTTTTGTCTTGAACGTGATCTATTGTGGGATCTACTCCTAAAGAAAGACAAATTGTTAGAGTATCAAAACTTAGTCTCAGAATTTCAATTTATAAATACTTAAGATCTTTCAAATGGGAGAATTTTAACACCAAACTTGACAGTATTTATCAGTATTTTAAAACTCTCTTTACATAACACTTCAGATAGCTTATATAATTTATTGGAAACTTTACCAGTTTATTGCCCAGAATACAAAGACAGAAATAGAGAAGGAATTTAAGTTACTTCCTACGTCAGATTTAAGTTGATAGTTTCAGGTGTGACCTTCCTTTGCTAAGTATTACATGCTTCAATTAGTACAGACGATTTCTCTCAGTCCATATTTTCATATCATAAACTGTCTTTAACTTTTTTTTTTAATAGATTTTATTTTGACATGGACTATTTTTAAAATCTTTATTGAATTTGTTAACAATATTGCTTCTATTTTATGTTTTGGTTTTTCAGCTGCAAGACATGTGGGATTTTAGCTCCCTGACCAGGGATCAAACCCTCAGACCCTGCATTGGAAGGTGAAGTCTTAACCACTGGACCACCAGGGAAATCCCTGTCTTTAACTCTTGACTTGCATGTAATATGACTGCTTGTGGTTACAGCTTATCTTGACAGGGACTGGTGGTTATATGGTTCAATGGTTTCTACAAACAGCTGTGTGTTGTTTGTCATAACACAGATTAAGAAGAACGTGTAAGAAAGCACACTACTAATGATGGTGCTAGTGTGACAGGAGACCAAACATCTTACCCATGAGTGAAAGCTAAATATAATCAAATACTGAATTTGCAAAGGCCCTGATTTTATAATTACATATACAGACCCATTAAAAGAAACCGTTATTCCTAGAATTCTTGGAGGAAAAATAACTGTTCTTCCAATTTTAAAATTTTCTAGGCTCTTCTCCCAACTAAATAGCATATATAATGTGACATTTTTCATATTGAGGCATCCTAAAACTATTCATTAAAATATGACAATATTGAATGTATACAACAAGTGATGAGACTTACTGGCTTTAGAGACAAACAAACTGGCTCTGACACTCAGTTCTGCCACACAACCGCTGAGAGAACTCTGGTTAACCACTTAACCTCGCTAAGCCTGAGTTTCTTCATCTAAAAACTGGAGTAAAAACCATACCTACACCTCTTATGACCCTCATGATTAAAACAGATGATGGATGGAAAAATGACTAACAGTTTCTGGTGCAGAATAAATGATTAAAACTCCTACTCCCAATATCTACATCACCAACAATTAATATAAGTGAAAAATTATTCCAAGAAGGTAAAATGAACTTCTGTAAGTATGCCTTACATAATTAAAACTCATCTTGATAGTAATACTTTCATGAATTAGGTTAAAACAAGTTTATAAAAGAAATATATATAGTTAAATGCTGGTAGTATGCTATGAAACCTAAAAAATCTCCAAACAATCCTCAATTAATAATGAAATCTTATTCATAAAACACTTTTCAGTTAGTTAAAATTTGTTCTCCAACAGTTAATTTTCAACTAAATCTACTATATGGCTTTAAAAATTAAACTTTTATCTTTATGCTGTTCAGTCCCTAAGTCGTGTCCAACTCCTCGTGACACAGGGAAGCACGCTGGACTTCCCTGTCCTTCACTATCTCCTAAAGTTTGCTCAAATTCATGTCAGTTGAGTCAGTGATGCTTTCTAACCAACTCATTTATCTTCATTCCACAATTTAATCTAAGAAAATAATTACTAATTTGTTGAAATCTTCATCACTAATAACCTATGAGACACTAGGGTCAAGTAGTAGCTACTAGGGGAAAACTGCAAAACTTACAACATTTTTAAGTACATTTACAGACACCCACATAAGGGTAATGTTTTAAAGGGCCTTTGCGTCTATGTACTTAATAGTCTGTTAACTTTGCTAAAAAAAAAATAATAATAATAATAATAATTTTGTTTTCCTCAAATAGTGCTTTTCAGTCTTAATTAAGAAACTTTTAATAAAAACTAACCATAGTCCTAACAAATAAAAGTTAATAATAAAAAAGCACTCACCAAAAAAGCAAACAAACAAAAAAACAAAAACCACAAGAAAGTGACAACCACATGGCTCCCACTTTACGCTGTGGGTGCTCAGAGTCTGAAACTCACTGCTCAAGAGTGATTACTGCATTTTAATTTTGACAATAAATATTTCATGTCTATGTCACCCACTAGTTGCCTTTAAGTATCCTGATTAGGAAAGCTAAAAGCTTTAAGTCAAGAGCAAAACGAATCCAATCAAAGATAAAGATGTGAGCCATCATTAGCAGCTCTCATTTTAGCATAAATGTACAAAATTGCACTTACAGGTTAAATTGTAAATAAAGGGCAACTTACCATTATGTTGCATCAAAGTTCATTTGTAAGTCAGTTGCTTCCCATTAAAATATTATAAAATGTCTTACAGTTCCTATGCTGGTCTGTAAAGGTTACTTAACTTTACAATAGAGTACTACCCACCTTTTCTAACCCTGCCCCTATGAAAAAAACACAATAAAAATTTGGACAGAGTGGAAACACATCTTCCCAGTTCTAGCTAAGATAATAACAAATAACTCCTTCCTCCCTCCTACAGAGAGAAGGGAGGGAACAGGAAAAAGATCAGGGGAAGGTTCTAGAAGTATCAGAACACTAACAAGGTAGAAAAAGATGGGCCTTTGAGTAAGGGGATCCTGCAACCTCCACTCCTGGCTAGGTCTAGTGGGTCAGAGAAAGAGCTGAAAGTCTCCAATCCCACTAGGGGTGGGGGTGGGGGGGAGGACGAAATGTCTGGCATTTCCTACAGTAGAGAGGAGGAGGGAGTTCCTTAAGTCAAATGTTCTTGGTTGAGGAACTTTTTTTCAACAAAATTCATCCTCTTTTGCATTTCTTTATGATTTTAGTAAAAGCTTCTTGTATAAGAACAGTATATGCTGATAAAAAAGGTATACAGGCATACCTCGAGAGAGATTGTGGGTCAGGTTCCAGACCACAGCAACAAAAGGAACATCACAACAAAGCAAGCCCAAGGAACTTTTTGGCTTCCCAGTGCATATACACGTTATATTAACTCTACAAGGTAGTGTATTAAGTGTGCAGCAGCACTGTGTTACCAAAAAAAAAAAAGTACATAACTTAATTTAAAATGGGTTGGCCAAAAAGTTCATTCAGGTCTTTTCCTAACATCTTACAGAAAAACCTGAATGAACTTTTTGGCCAACAACACTTAATTGCTAAAAAATGCTGATCATCATCTGACAATGCAGGACTGCCACAAACTTTCAATTTGTTAAAATCAACAATATTTGTGAAAGCACAACAAAGCTAAGTATAACAAAATGAGGTATGCTTGACTATGAGCCAGCCAAGAACAATTAATTTCTCACTCTCTATCATTAGACAGACCTCCATGAAACCACTCCCATGAATAAAAATAATTAACAAATTTCTAACCCTCCACTAATCCTTGGAAGGGGAAAATATCCAAATACACTTAAAATGATGAGTAAAAACCTTAAAATAGATAAATTATATGTCCCAACAGAGAAAGCTTCAAAGAAATTATCAAGAAAATGATGATATTAATCATTAAGTTCTGCTTTTTTCCAGCTACAGAATACCACTAACATATTAGATTTGGAGTATGGCTCTATTAACACAAATTAAGAGTCAAGTCATTGGTCTTTTTCTTCCTCAGAAAGTTATAACTCTTTCACTCACTTCTATACTTTTCTTTTACCACTCTGTTGACCTATAGAAATATCCATAACCTAGTACCACTGAGTCTATACACTTCTTTCTCTAATTCCGGTTTCTGCTACACTGACTTCTTCCTCGTACATGAGGCAATTTCCTTCTCGTAGACATGAATTTGCCTTACTGTACAGCCTTGGATGGAGAGTAAAATCATATTCCAAAAGGAGTTTTGCAATCTAATAATAATAGGGAAGTATACCCCAGTACAGCTAAAAGTATAGTTTACTAGTCTAATTAAGAATATCTGCAATCAGAGATTACCATACTAACTGAGAGAACTCAGAAAGAGAAAAACAAATACCATAAGATAACACTTACATGTGGAATCTAAAATATGATAAAAACGAACCTATCAATGAAAAACGGAAATAAAATCAGGGACACAGAGAACAGTATGGTGGTTGCCAAGGGGAAGGGGGTGGGAGAGGGCAGGAGTGGTAGTTTGGGATTAGCAGATGCAAACTGATATGTCTACAATGGATAAACAGGTCCTACCATATAGCATAGGAAACTACATTCAACATCCTGTGACAAACCATATGAAAAAGAACATATATATATGTATAACTGAGTCACTTCAGCTGTATAGAAGTAATTAACACACTGTAATTCAACAACACTTCAATAAAAAATAAATTTTAAAAAAGAATATCATATTTTCCTATCTCACTGCCTCAATCTCCTTGATTAGCACAGGAAATTAAGACTGAACTCAGCTTGTTGGTGAAGTTCAACAAAGAACATACTGGTCCTTTTTGCCCTCCCCTGAAATCCTCCTTCTCTAACCCTCCCAACAAACATGCACACACACTTTTCTCTATCTCTTCTCTTCAGAGAGTATGAATATGTATGTACATATAACATGCAATTAGGATCTACTGTATCCATTTTCACAGTTCAGTAACAGCTCCCTCCTCATCTTAAAGAGGACAATAAAACTTATCTTGTTAGACCTGATTCTGAGGTTACTTTCAATCAAGATGGTGTTCCAAGTTTTGAGATCCCCTTTGCACCACACACAACATATTTTTAAAAGAACATTAAAATGACAGAGCCATGCTCAAAAATAAGATAGAATAGAAACAAAGTTTTAAGCACAATACAATAGTTGCCATTAAAACTGCAAGTTACTCCTACATTTCAGGTCCCAAAGTGGGTGGAGGCAGCTCTTATCATCAAGAGTACAAAGACTTAAAGTACTCCATTCGATGCAGAGTACTGGAGAGAAGCAACTACTTGAAATCTAGATCTGGGGTAGTACTTCCCAGACCTTGAGGGGAACAGGAGAGGGAAAAAAACCAAAAATGCAACTTTACCAGTACTTTCAGCACCATATGTTCCCTTTTCCCAATGTGAAGAAAGAAAAAGTTCTGCCAATTCTTTATAATGAGTTAATTTTTAAGAAATATCAAGAACAGAACACCTTAAGATAAAAAACCAACTTCTAAAACTAAAAATTAGTTGAAAATATGTATTTACTAGATAAAACTTCATTCTTAAGTATAGTGCTACAATTAAAGCAATATCTAAGAGTAACCATACTTTCTGGTGAACACCAGTGAAATTTCTAAACTCTGAAACTTAGACAAAAACTCAAGAAAATCTTAGGCACGGTAAATACAAAAACAAAAAACATTCAAAATATGACAGCAGAAATTCTCACCTGTGTTTTGACTGTGACCTTTTCCTTCGAGAACGGGATTTTGAGCTAGACCTGGATTTTGAACGAGTGTGGGAACGAGATCGACCGCCTTTTCTTTCATTGCTCTTTCCAGACTCTGGGAGGAAAAAACCACTTTGCAGTGTAAGCTCAGAACAATTAAAGATCCCAGTTAATAATCAGGCACAAGTGGAATGTACCACATATAGTGCAAGGGGCCTACTCTCTGTACATCCTCCTCCTGTGCAATTATCCTTCAGAAACATCCAAGAAAGTCATTGCATAAACTCGTTGAGTGCAGCCACCCTGCAGCAGTACATATAAACCAGATGATTATAAACAGCTGTTCGTAGTATTTTGTTGCTGCCATAATGTACGATTATAACATGTCTGTAATTCCTATGACAGTGATTTTAATTCCTTTTTCCATTTATTTTCCTAGAATTGAAGCTTAAGTTCTGAGTGCTAATTTAGAAAATTTGCTCAAACGTAAACCATCTAGACATTTTTAGGTTGGATTTTTATAGTTAGCAACACAAAAGATTGAAAAGATGTTCCTTTACCCTGCTAAAATAGTCTCTATTTTTCCTAAATTGTGGTCTCTGTTGTCTATTTTTAAAATTAAAACTTTGAAGGAAAAATGAAATCTGCTTAGTCATAACACTTAAAATATATTTACTCTTGTCTTTAGTCTCACAAATAGTATTTATACTTTGCTTTAAGCAAATCAGTTCTGTACACTGATTTTGCTATTAAAACATAAAGAACTGATTTAACTCAAGCTAATGTACCTCAATTCAGTATCATGGAAAAAGACATTTGTGCTAAATACATCTTCAACCTTTGACGCTAGTTAAGTCACTTACACTTTCTTGAGTTTCAGTCTTCTTATTGTAAAATGAAGGGACTTAACAGATAATTTCTAAAATTCCTTCCAGTTCTAAGAGTCTATGATCATCAACTAAGACCTGTGTAACAACGCTGTGGCCTTACCTGGTTCGATAGCTGCTGAGATAAAGGACTGAGCCTCTCGTACTCGCTTCATTACTTCTTCTAACTCCTTAGCTGCAGCCTGAGGTGTCATCTCAGGGGGTTTTACTATTGCATTGTTGGAGTGATTTATTCTAAATTAAAAATATTAGCATATCACAAATACACACCATATTTTACAAAACCTGAAACAATTAACTGCTTATAAGGTACACACATTTACAAATCTGAGGACATCTCAAAAGCACATGAAGAATAATATAGCTAAATACAGAATAACTAAAACCAACCTCAAAACCATGATTCATCTCATTTCCATCTGCCATCATCTCTTGCTAACAAAGGCAAAAGCAAGGGGAAAAATAAAAAGAAAAACTGAACCCTAGCTAACTTCTTTAACAACCTGAACAGACCAGGACAACAGCTTTACCACATAGCTTAGAATTAAAAATAAATTAAAATGGTAACACCAGTATTAAAATGAGTCATTTCTATTCTTAGATTATAAAAAACTCTCCCTTCATGGCTAAGAGTGGTTCCCCTGAGGCACATAAATGAATTTGGTGTGTCTCACTTTAGCATGGTGAAAAGACAAGCATTCACTAAGAACATCATTTCTTATACTCTAATAGCAGACTCCTGACCAAACTGCATAGTTAAGATCATTATCTACAGAATTCAAATAAAACTGTCACCTCAATAATCTATATGAAATAGAATTTCTGGTCTTGAGTATCTAAAAGGCTTTATCAATTTTTCACTTTGCAAACAAGAATGCAAGCAAACCTTAAAATGTATTATTTTTAGACATTTCTGGGATTTTGGATTTACCAAAATTCTATCTCTATATTACTGTAAATTCAATGCATATGTTAGACCATCTAAGTCTAGCATAATAATGCAAAACTAACCTGACCTGTTAAAGCCTATGGAAAAAGAGCTAGAGTCAACACGTACAGTATAAACATGTTAATATTAACCTAGACGTTATGAACTAGAAAGTAACATGTCTTCAAATGCAACATTAATTTAAAAGCTAAAATGGTAAATATCTCATGTGTTTCATTTATACTTAACACAGTCTTCCTTTCCACAAATTGCCAATTACTATTAAAAAGAAAAAAAAAACTTAATTACATAAAAAACACTTAAAAATTTTCCAGAATCATTAAAATTTCTTTGTTTAGTGTTTCTTACTTCAGTGGCCTGTCTCCAAACATAACTCCATTAAAAGCAAGGGCCCTTGGTACAGAATTTTGGTCTGCAAATTCCACAAAAGCAAACCGAGTTGGCTGAGTCTCATCACCTGCCATCCGAACAAACTTCACTTCTCCAACTTGTTTAAAAAATTCAAGTAGCTGGTCAGCTGTGGTTGTCTGAAGAAACAAAGTAACAGTTTTAATAAAGTATATTCTTCTTAAAAAAAAAAATCTGGTAAATATTACTTTACCAATTGATACGATTTTTAAGAAAGGGAAAAAGATAAAAGGCCCCAACACTCAATTTCTTCTTATATTAGTTACCTGGGAATTCAAATTGCCAACATAGACTGTTCTCCTAATTTCATCAATTTTAGAAGGATCCACATTCCCCATAAGCGGTGGCTGTGGTATCTCTCCAAGGGTTGCAATGTTGGGGTCTAGCGCTGCTGCTGGTATGGCTCCCAAACTGCTAAGGGAAACGCCCAGCTATAAGAAAATCAACACAACACGTATTTTCTGTTAGTGTCAAAAATTACCACTCTCAAGAAATCCAAAGAGGGATATATGTATACATATAGCTGATTCATTTTACTGTTCAGTAGAAACACATTATAAAGAAACTACACTCCAATAAAAGTTAATTACAAAAACAAAACAAGCAAACAAACAAACTAACATTACCAGTCTCTCATCTTGAACAATACTGATCAATTCAGTAAGACTGGGAAGAGACTAGGGACTCCTAATTTAAGCCAGGTATACATCTGAATTATTCAGAGTAAGGTCACACTGGTTTTCAATATAACAAGAAGTACAATGTATTTCTTAACTATCTGGGTATTTTAATTCTAAACTTAACATTAAAAACAAACAGTGAATTCTTACTATTTTTTTTCCTATTAAATGGTAGATTCAGTGATAGAGAATTCTATTCTTTTCTGTTGACCAATCAAGATACAGTAGTATTAACTGAATAACAGTTACATAGTCACAATAGTAAAAGATCAGTTTTCACAATCAATAGCCAGACACAAAACAAAAGATAATTACAACTGCAAGCCATAATAGAAGCATGATTAACCTAACAATATAAAATAATTACATACAACTTGGGGGATTAAGTAGAGTGATGTGCTAAGTGGAAGTGCGTACATGCACATGTTCTCATCTGTCCAGCCAGTCTGTCTTTTGGCTGGTGCATTTAATCCATTTACATGTAAGGTAATTATCACTATGATCCTATTTGGCCTCTTACGCAGTTTATGACGTTCTCGTGGCAAGTATACTGGGTGGCTTGTCATTCCCTCCTCCATGCTGAAGCTAAAGCTACAGTATTTTGGTCATCTGACGCACAGATGACTCGCTGGAAAAGTCCCTGATGCTGGGAAAGATCAAGGGCAGAAGAGGGCGTCAGAGGATGACATGGCGGGATGGCATCACCGATGCAATGAACATGAACTCGGGCAAACTCTGGGAGACGGTGAGGGACAGGGGGCCAAGCATGCTGAAGTCCACGGGGTCACAAAGAGTCAGACAGGACTGGGCTAGTGAACAACAACAATGATCCTATTAACCATTGTTTTTTTTTTTTAGCATTTTCTTAACTGTTTTGAATTTATTCCAGTAGGTTCTTTCCCTTGTGTTTCCTGCCTAGAGAATTTCCTTTAGTATCTGTTGTAAAGGTGGTTTGGTGGTGCTGAATTCTCTTTTAACTTCTGCTTGTCTGGAAAGCTTCTCATTTCTCCATCAAATCTGAACAACAGTTTTGCTAAGTAAACTATTCTTGGTTATAGGTTCTTCCCTTTCATCACTTTCAGTGTCCACACCATTCCCTTCTGGCTTGAAGAGGTTTCTGTTGAGAAATTAGCTGATAACTCATGGGAGTTCCGTTTTATCTTATTTGTCATTTTTCCTTTCTTTTACTATTTTATCTTCGTTTTTAATTTTCATCACTTTGATCAGCATGTGTTTCAGTGTGTTCCTCCTTGGGTTTATCCTGCCTGAGACTCTCTGTGCTGCCTGGACTTGGTTGACTACTTCCTTTCCCATCTTAGGGAACTTTTCAGCTATTATTTCTTCAAATATTTTCTCAGGTCCTTTCTTTCTTCTTCTGTGACCCCTATAATGAGAATGTTGGTGCCCTGAATGTTGTCCCAGAGGTCTCCTAGGTTGTCTTCATTTATTTTCATTTGTTTTTCTATATTCTGTCCTGTGGCAGTGATTTCCACCATTCTGTCTTTCAGGTCACTTATCCATTCTTCTGCATCAGTTATCCTAGTTCTTCTAGTTCCTTGGGAAACATTTCTTGCATCTTCTCAATCTTTTCCTCCACTCTTATCCAAGATCCTGGATCATCTTCACTCTCATTATTCTAAATTCTTTTTTTGGAAGCCTGCCTATCTCCACTTCATTTGCTTGTTTTTCTGGAGTTTTACACTTTCCATTCATGTGAGACAAAACCCTCTGCTTTTTCATCCGGGTTAACTTTCCATGGTGTGGTTTTGGTTCTAGCCACTGAGGTATTCTGTTCTTGCTTCATCTGTCTGCCCTAAAGTGGATGAGGCTAAGAGGCTTGTAGAAGCTTCCTGATGGGAAGGACTGGTGGCGGGAAAAACGGGGACTTGCTCTGGTGGGCAGAGTTATCCTCAGTAAAATTTTAATCCAATTATCTGCCAATGGGGGTGTCTGCACCCCTTCTCTGTTTGTTGTTTGGCCTGAGATGACTCAGCCAAACATAGGCTCTGTGGCTGGGTTAATCGTGACGTCCGAGAGGACTTACACCAAAGGGCCCTTTCCAGGACTGCTGCTGTCTGTCTCCCCATCCCCACAGCAAGCCACTGCCAACCCACACCACCACGGCAGACCCTCCAACACTAGCAGGGAGATCTGGTTCAGTCTCCTGTGGGGTCACTGCTCTGTCCCACTGGGTCTTGGCATACACAGGATTTTGTTTCTGCTCAAGAGTGGAGTCTCTTGTTTCCCCCAGTCCTGTGAAGTCCCATAATCAAATCCCACTAGCCTTCAAAGTCAGATTCCCTGAGGACTCCTAGTCCGTTTGTTGGATCCCCTAGCTGGGAAGCCTGATGTGGGACTCAGAACCTTCGCAACAGTGGGAGAACTTCTTTGCTATTAGTGTTCTCCAGTTTGTGGGCTGCCCACCTGGTGGGTATGGGATTTGATTTTATCGTCATTGTGCCCCTCCTACCGTCTCATTGTGGCTTCCTGTCTTTGGACGTGGAGGATCTTTTTTTGGTGGGTTCCAGGATATGCAGGTCAGGAAGCAACAGTTAGAACTGGACATGGACCAACATGCTTCCCAATAGGAAAAGGAGTACATCAAGGCTGTATTTTGTCACCCTGCTTNTTGGGGGCAGGAGAAGGGGACGACAGAGGATGGGATGGCTGGATGGCATCACCGACTCAATGGAAATGAGTTTGAGTCAATTCCAGGAGTTGGTGATGGACAGGGAGGCCTGGCGTGCTGCAATTCATGGGGTCGCAAAGAGTCAGACACGAATGAGCGACTGAACTGAACTGAACTGAGGATCCTCCAGTGGATGGCTGTCCAATAGCTAGCTGTGATTTGGGTGCTTTTGCAGGAGACGAGTGTACGTTCTTTAACTCTGCCATCTCGAACTGGAAACCCTGTCAATTCTTACTATTTGCAGTAGTTTTTAGTTCAAACATTAAGAAACATGCTTTAGTGTGAATTTAAACTTGAAAAGATAGACCTGAGAATTTGAAAATGAAACATTTTGCAAATTCAAGAAAAGACTTTTTAAGAAACAAAAACACTGCTCCTTTCATTTTCACCTGGGCAATTTAAGCCAATTAAGTTAACCAACTACATATTGTTATACTGTTGCCAATCTACTAAAATTTTAACAATACTTTCTAAAGGCAAAACTACTAGTTTATGAAATCAGCATCACTTACACTTGTCATAGCAACCCATGTGTGATCTTTTTAAAACATCACATCAAATTTTATCTCTGCTTAAAACCCTTTAAATAAAATTCAAACTTCTGTGGCCTAAAAACCTTACATAATCAGTGCCCTACCTGCCCCTCTAATCTCAAAACCACTTCTACCCTACCTCCCTAAACCCCTAACCTGAAACCAAGCCATTCTGTACCTTGAACACACGTTTTTCTCACTTAGGGCTTTTTACCTGGCATTCCATCTACCCTAAAAAGCTCTTACCTGAGCTTCTGCTGGCTGAATTCTTCAACCATCCGGTCAGTCATCCTCTCCAAGTTCTCCCTGACCTTATGAGAGCCACATTTCCTCTCTACTGCATCACCGTTTTTTCCTTCATAGTTTTTATTAACATAATCTGTGCTATCTTGCTGCTAACAGACTTTAGATTTGTTGCTATCAAGTTATCATAACATTGTAGAAAATATCTTTAGTTCAAAACACATGAATGATCTAGCCTCTTTCCATATGTTGCCTCTAATGACACTCCTTTTTCTATCTTGCCTCTGATAGTCTAACATTCAGATGATTGAGGGTCACACCTTCAATTTTCTTCCTACTGTGCAAGAGAATTATTATATACATCTAAGCTAAATTACAAATATGAGTCTTGTTAGTTCTGCCTGGATTTAAAACAGACTTTTCTAGGTATTCCAAGGTGTCCACCCTTTGACTTAGAAATTTCTCCACTGGGACATATAATTATATATCTGGAACGGGCTTTTCCAAATCATCTAAGCCAACCCCTTTGTTTCTCAAATGTAAAGATCATTCAGTCTTTTTTCTTTAGAAACTTTGTCTCTCTCTTCTTTGCCCTATACCATTCTTCAACACTTGTGCCATTTGACATGGTAACCACCAATCACATAGGGCTATCTGAATTTTAATTAAAATTCAATGCCTCAGTCACACCAGTCAAATTTCAAGTGCTCAATAGCCACATGCTGCCAATGGTTCCTATACTACATAGTATAGATTCAGACATCTCCATCATAGCAGAAAGATCTATTGGATATAGCTTCTCTGTAACAATACAACTACCCTTCTTTAGATTAGTCTCTATTCTGGCCCTGGTCCAAACAACCTAAATACTGAGTTAGCCAAAAAGTTCATTCAGGTCTTTCCTTAAGATGTATGAAAAACCCACACAAACTATTTGGTCAACACAATACTCGGGAGTGCCCTTTCGGTCTTTGAGGGGATAAAGATGATCTGGACTCCCAATATAAAACTTTTGCCTTCTGACATAGAAACCTCAGCCTCCCTGAAGATTTTATAGACTTAATCTTAATCTTCCTATTAAGTAGAAATCTTATAAAAGGTTTCATTCACTCATATCAAAGAGTGAATCTTTTTAATGTCCAGAAAAGAAATGTTCTAGGCAGAGAATAAATAAATATTCCGAGGCAGAAATATATTTGGTATATCCAAAAAACAAGGCCAATATGACTGAAGTAAGAAACAAGTTGGGAAAAAAGGTCAGAGAAGTAGCCAGGAGCAGGATCACAATGGGCCACCTTCCCCGTGTTTTATAACTTCATGAATTAAGTTATATCATAATAGACATCTACAGCTGAATTAAAAGGAATCATTTCCCGTCAAAGCAACAAATTAAATAATAAAGACGTTATACTGTTGATAAATAAACCTAAAAATGTTCACAATAGCAAGACAATATTTTCTGAGGAGAGGGGAAAAAAAGATGGTGATTCAGGAATTAATCTTAAAATATGCCAAAACATACCCAAACTCAAATTTCTAAAAAGTGCAATTCAAATGATCAGATGTTAAAGTAAAAAGCACTTTCCCCCCATGGATCATAACACAGGTCTTCAGTAGAACAATTTCATGTAAAAATCCTCAAATCTAGCACTTTCCAAGTTTCAAAAATCACTTCTAAAACTTGGATAAATTAAGTAACTATACTCATAAAGTTTACTGGTTCACTCCTTAATAACCCAGTACCACAAAGCTAAATACAACTTTCAATTAAAGTTAGTTTTGCATTTTTTCTTGGGTTTATTTTTACAGAAAAATGACTCCTCTTTTAAAATAAACGACCAAAAAAAATAAATAAAATAAATGACCAGATTCTTTTATATAAACCAAGAACTCAGTAACAGCACGTCTTTTCTTTTTTAACACCACTTGGAAATCACAAAGGAGGCATTAAATTACGCTTAGTTAAGAAACTATTTTTACTATGTTACATTTTCTCAGTATCAGAAAAAAGCTTCTCTGAGACGTTTCTTCCCCATTATCAAGACAGTAAATTATTTCATATTTTTCAAATGGATTTAGTCCCCCTAAACTGGGAAATACAGGTGCGAGACTCTCCCAATTCCTCATGCTAGCTACAGTGCTGGGACCCAGTAACTGATTTACTAATGAATAATATACTTCAGTTCTCAAATGTAAATGAATCCCCAACTACTTCATAAGCAATTCCAAAAGGCATTTCAGGTCAGTGACAACTTGAGGAAAAAATTAGGCAGACATTTCAATCAAATCCTCTCCATTAAAAAAACTGTATTTAAAATAGAAATAGCAACTTGCCTGGTGGTCCAGTGGTTAAGACTCTGCACTCCCAATGCACAGAGTGCAGGTTCAGCCCCTGGTTGGAGAACTAAGACGCCACATGCTGGGTGACGCAACCCAAAAATAATAAAAATAAACTAGAAATAGTTTCCTAAGCTCTTTACAACAGCAAAAAAAAAGGATTTTCTAAGCTCTTTACTTAGCCGATGACACAGTTTAATGTTCACCCCTTTTGGAAGAGGGTGTATCGTCTCACACTTACTGTAGTTAAGGGATTTGGAGTTGGTATGGGAAGCAAGCCTGCACCAGGCATCAGACTTGTCATGGTTGGAGCAGGAGCCAATAAAGAGAGGGCTTTGGCTTCCTCTGGGATTTTACCTGCAGAGGCAAGTTCCAAACATTACAGAAAGCAGAAACACCACACAACTTTACACTATGATTTTACAATTACCCTTGCACTTAAAAAATAATAATAATAAATGAATCTATCAGATCCATATAAAGAAATAAATAAGAACTTAAGTCTTTCCTTTTACCCTGCTCTACTAGGAAAAATAAAAGTGAGCAAAATTTCAAAGACTAACAATCTCATTAATGGAATATTATTTTAAAAACTGAATAATGTAGACAATTATTTAACACTTTGAGCTATGGGTCACCTGTACTGGAAACTTAATGTTCATGAACCAAACGATATCAAGCATGGACGCTTTTCCAGGACGGTGTTTTCGCGGTGATCGAAAGTTGTGTTACACATGACAACCGTTCGTGTTGGCTGCATCACTAATAGCACACAGAACATCAGATACAGAAAAGAAGAACATTTTTTAAAGTTTAATCCCCAGAAATGGCAAATAACCAAATTAGTCAAAAAAAAGAAAAAGAAAAAAACAAATATGTGCGAATTGAAATTTATTCCCGAGTGTCCCTATCCTGTTAATTTAAACTACCTACTTGTGATGCAAACAATTTTGATAATCTTCCAATAGATTCCATTTAATTTCAAGTAGACAGAAAAAAACAAAAGCTACTGCATGTAACCAGCTTCAATTGAAAAGGAAGCCTACACCCACTCAGTTAACGAGGCATCTCACCAACAATGTCAGAGATGACCAAGAGAATCCAGTTCCAAAGAATATATATACCTTGGGAAACTATCATTTTTGAAAATAAAAAAACTTTCCTGAGTCTCAGGAAACTTCTTAAATTACTGACTTTTAGAACCAATTTACGTATACTTATCTGAAGAGGGGTGGGTTAATGCCTAAATGTCTTCCTTATAAAAAGCAGCTTAAGTGCCTAATAATAATAACAATAACATTAAAATAATCCTAGACACTAAGAAGAAATCCCTGCAAGTAAAAAAATGAAAATTTACTCTGAATTAAGTCCATCAATTTGCCACATTTAATTACTGAATTCTAATCAATCAGTTTTGATAAAGATTATGACTTTCACACACTTTTTTCTGCTTTCTCTTAACCCTTTGAAAAATAAAATATCTAAGAAAAACTGACTATACACAGCAATTTCAGAAGAACTACTGATACATAATTATGTGTTACTTGACCAAACATTTCTATTATGAATTCTTCAAAGTAATTTAAAACACTGTACAAAGTCACACCAAATTGCAACTAGCACATGGAGTAAATTTTCAAGAAAGCGTAACGCTGGGTTTCAGCAGTAAAATTCTACTTAATACAACCAGATGTGCAGGGATAAATCTCTAAAAAACATTACTGGATGCACTTCTAAATGTGGATGGAATTCAAGATGAATTTTTTTAAAATTTGCTTTAAATAGTGGTTATACCTTATTCACAGGAATAGAAAAATAACACTTTCTTAGCTTTAGCAAATGTCTATTTATTCTAAGTCTATATAACCTTAATTTACTAATTTCAAAAACAAAGTCATTTTATTATTTCAGTAAATTCTGCATAAGCACAGATTTTAACATGCATAGAGATTATTAAAAGGTGGGAGGATCTTACTTGAAAACATCAAATTATTTTGTATTTATTAATTACTAGCATTAAGACATCTATCTGTATACTCACATATATACTATACTATTTACATTGCTATCAAACCTGTTTTATCTGTTAAAAGTAAGTATTCTTTCTTTTTTAAATATTTGTAAAACCTGAACACATGTTGATAAATCAACTGAGGTCCTAAGGTACAAATCCTACGCTTTACTACCCTAATTCATGCACCTAAAAAACAAAGAATTCCAATTTAGTAATGTCCCAATTTAAGATTAACTGTTGATTAAATAACCAAAACTATACACACAAAACAGTGCAGAAAGACTATACCAACAAAAAAGGGTATTTAACCTAGGCCAAAAGTTGATTACTTAAAGTCGTTCACTCTTGGCTTAAAAATAGTTGTCAGTAGGATATCTGACTCTCACTGCCTCTCACAACATAATGAACTATTTTAAGTATTAAGTCTAACTAAAAGCACAATACTTATTATTATTACCATTAAAGATAATCTAAAAGATAATCTAAAGATAATCTAAAAATCTAATTTCCAAGATAAAATTCTACCAAATTTATCCTCCAAATACTATCAGAATATATAAAAGCATAAAGCAAATAAGCACTTGGCATTTATCCCGAACTGTACTCATCAAAGACAACCGAGAGGAAAACAATTCTCTCATGCACCCTAACCTCAGAATCTATTTAGAAACAAGCAATCTCTGAACATTTGTCAGTCAAAAATTCAAGCAAAGAAATACAAACGCAAGTAAATATTATACAGTTTCTCAAGTATCCATTCCCCACATAGGCAACTAAAAGTGTTTTGTTTTTAAATCAATGTTATTTTCTATAATAAGTAACTATCATAAAAGTGAAAAGTCTCTTCTTGTTCTCTACCCCAAGAATGTTATAAGAAATTTACTTATTTTCCTTGATGATTGTGTATGCCTAAAATTCTAAGGGAGAAGATTGAAAATTAGAAGTTATCAGTTGGTCTTTATGTGAGTTGCAGACTTGGGAGAAAACTGCAAAAAAGTTACACTGAGATCAAAAAACGTGCTCCTAAATAAGAATCTCACCACTGTTTTAGTGTTTCGGGAACAAAATGTACTCAATCAGTTTATAAACACCAATTGAAACTAGCACTGAGCTTCATGAAACTGTGTACTAATTTACTGTGAAAACTTATGTTAATGATGAGTTCTACTAATCATCTCCCAATATAATTTGCAATGCAATGTTATGAACTCTTAATGGAATACCATTTACAAAGAACTGGAAAACCAGCTCACGAGTTAAAGTGGAAGAGATTTAACAAAACAAAACAAAACAAAACAAAAAAAAAAGGGACAAAATAAAGAAAAAGAAATGAAATTAAAGTAAAACAATAAAAAACAGAGACAGGGCGTCCATCTTCTGCGGTTCAGACTCCGATCTCATTTCCCCAATGAAGGTTTCACTTGACGGCAGGTTTAGTGGCATGGCAAACAATGCCTAACTCAGGCAAGTGTAACAGGTCTGCCTTGGCCAGTCTAGTCATCTAATAATGCACAAATATCACATAGAGAAAACATACAAAACCAAATTAATAGTCAAAATCCATCTACCAGAAAATGTGGACATAAACTTATGACTGATGATTAGGTTGACACCCTATCTTTGACCTTATCTTTTTCTAAGTGTTAACATTTATAAAAAGAAATCTGAGATGCACGCAACAACAAAAAGAGGTCATAGCTGGACGAATATAATGAAAGTATAACATTTTATTTTGAAGTGGCATGTTTTATTAACAATAGCTAATGCTTAATATGTATGAAACTATTACACATCCAACATTATTTAAACAGCTTAGGATCTTCTCACGATACTACCGTCTGAATTAAAAACAAACAAAAAACCCCAGCAAATTGAAAGAAACTGAAAAAAAAGTCTTACAACTTTTTTCTATGGTTCTTTCACTTCTTTCATAATGCCGTTTCTGTAGTATCAAGGAAAGAATACAATCAGTGAAGTAAACAGAAGACTGCTTACAGCAACGCAGTACATCTCCTCTTACAGAACTTACTCCACTGGAACTCTTTCCTTTGATTTACTTCAAATTTACTTCCCTATCTTTTTTAATACAATACATTATTACTTTGCTTGCAGTGCATAATCAGATCTTTTAATAGCTCACTGTGACACTCTTCAGGTTCTATGAATTCATCTCTGTTGTACTAGTTCAATGAAAAATGTGTATCTGAATGTTTTTCCAATACCAATTATTTTATAGGTTCGTGTTCTAAACTACAACTAGAATAAAAATATGAATTTTCATGTTCAAAAATAGCAAAATTTTGTCTCAAAATGTTAATACTAAAAATATTCAAGTCATTACAATAAATATGCAGTTAATTCTATCAAGTAAAACAGACAAAAAAAGGAACCTCTATATGCCCATAATCTTGAACATTTATAACAAACAATGGTCATTTTTCAAATATCTGAATCATACTATGGGAATATAGCAAGGTTCCAGCAGAGCTGCACTAACAAAATCCTTCCTTCCAGTTCAGTAGTGAGCTAAAATCACACAAGGTCTGTGCTGCTGGTGGCATAGTTTTTTGATACAATTAATATTCCCATTAATAAACCTTCTACTTATTTTTTTCCCATGCAGTTTACTCGGTATAAAATTGGTATGAACTTCGTATGCAAACTAAACCATTACCAGCTCTTTTCTCACCTTGTTCTCCAATTTTAGGGTCGTTGTACGCTTACAGATTAATAGATAAGAATAGATTTAAGCAAATGATTAACTTCAGTTCATTTTTATTCTCCCTACCCCACTATAATCCCCAGGCATGGGAAAAACACTTTCAAATTTATCTGAAAATCTCCAGAAGGTCCTACTCTGGGACTTCAAAAATAATATCACTGTATCTGACTGTAATGTTTTTGACATCCCAGAACAGGCATTCTGAAATATGCAAAAAAACTTGAAAGTGCAGCAAACTGTTTACTATACACTATTTTAATGTTAGCCTGGTTTCTAAAAATGGTTTTAAAACATTACATATGGAAACTCATTAGACTGTTTCAGGTAAAAATTTTATGTTGTAAAACCGTTACAAGCCACCAGTGAAAATATATTTTAAAGACATTTAAATTGTAATAACCAATTATAAAATCCATGTACATATGCTACAATCAGTGCTCTGAATAAAAGTTAATTACACACCAGACTTTCAAATTCAGCACAGCCTATTATATGTTAGTGGCTCTGTAAACATAAATTACTAAAAAAAAAAAAAGCATTAATAATAATTAGCTCTTAAAGCAGGTTAAGTCATAAATTAATGAATTACTATAAGGCCTTTGGCCTTGTTACCCCCTCAAACAACTATTTCCTTGATGGACACTTTGGAAAATTGTTTTCCATTGTTTTTCTTTTAACTGCCATCACCACCCCCAACCCTAGCTCCACCCTCCAACCCACCAGCAGAAGAAGTCAGTAAAATAAATTTCAGTTGCACAGCAAACAATTACAGTGAATAAGAAATAATGGTTTCATTAAAAAGGTAAATTACCTTAAGAAGATACTGTAAACCTTAAAATATGAATATTTTTATTTAACATAATTACCACATAACCCCCCACTTAGCAAAATGTGTACACTGTTTTTACTTATAACATTTCATTAATATTGTATACACGAGGGCAAAGAATCACTTATTTACACATTTTAAATAATTTCCTCTACCAATTTAATTTCAGAAAGCTTGCTTTAAACTTGCAAATTAAATACAATAAAGCAAAGTAAACCAAAGAAGGTAAGCAATTAAAAAAAATTTTAATGTCTAACTATAACATCTCAAATATACATAATAACCATTTTAATATATTTTATTATTAGGTAAAATTCTTTCCATCTCCAAATTTCATTCTTACACACAACATACCATATCTACTTGCCAATTTCTAGGAAAGCCAGTGGTAGTAACAGACAGGACAGAGATTAAAATAACTTAAAAAAATCATATGAGATACCAACCTTCCGCACAAGGAACAACTATCAGAGCTCTGTCAATAAAAACCGTGTTAGTTAGATGCTGGGCCACACCAACACTTGATGGATCACGAAACTTAACATAACATACTTTGGAAGAAAAAGCAAGAGGTGCGTTGCTGCAAGATAAAAAGAAAAACAATTGGACTAATAAACATTAGGTTGGTTTTGTCATTTTCACTTACCATTTCTTTTTTATATCTTTATATAATCTTATATAATCAAGACAGGAATTTCTGCTGCTAAGGCATGAAATACCAGAACATAGTCTTTTAGATCTTTACATAATCAAGACAGGAATTTTTGTTGCTAAGACATGAAATACCAGAACTTAGTCTTTTGACAGTGATTTGCTGAAAAGACTAAAGAGAAATCTAGACAGGCCTATAGCCCTGCTTGTTAAAAATCTGAAACTTTACACATTCTTAATTTCAGTGAAATGAGAAAATAGCTGACTTAACCCACGGATGTTTACTTGGTACATCCACATCAATCGGCAAAATCTCTTTCATAAAAATAGCCCCAACTCTCAAGACTTCAAATTTTTAACTACTTCCAACTCTCCTTAATGTGATTCCTGACATTTAAATTATTAAAAACTTCACAAACATCTGAAAACAATCAGGTAACCTGGAATTAAAATTAAATTCTTCTACATATACTAGACTACTTCAGACTAGGCAGCATTGTGGTTTTCCAGACAAACAATTTTACAAACAAAATTTATATATTTTATAGGCAAAAGAGAAAAGATTCTTACAAGTCCTACTAGATTTAATCTAGGCAAGACTACATTAAAAAGAAGCCAGACACAGCACAGATGAAAGCAATTTTTCCATAATGTGAATCCATCATGTTAGAGTTCAAAATACACTATATCCTCATAAAGAATCATTTTCTCAATCTACCCATAACTGTGTTCAATTAAAATCTGTAATTGTCTTTAGCAAGTGAAAAAAGGCACAACCTAGATACACAGCTAATGTTTAACATAAATGTACAATCCTTGAAAACATTCAATCTGTCACACTAAAAGAGTAAGATCATTTGAAAAATACCAAATATAACTTGGGCAATAACAGTAATTTACTTTAGTTGACAAAACAGGTCAAGGAAGTTGACCACAATCTAGACCTAGTAAAAGGCAAAGATGATATTTAAAGTCTAATTATCTAATTCCAAATCTCATGTAACCTTAATCATTCAGTTAATCAAGAACTTTAAAGCCACTTTAATGTACTATCTAATTTTTAATTCCATAAATATCCATCACTTATTAAAATTATAAACTTAAATACAGCAAAAAATCCACCTTGATAATGGCTAAATGTAGTTATAATATTAACCAAACACTGAGATAAAATATATCTGCACTTAGAACTTGAAACTATATGTTGATATATTATTATTAATGTAACTTAATCAGGCTAATTAAAGCAGCTAAAATGAAAAAAAAAAACTCTACCTCTTTTTCACCCAACTGAATTCAATTGTTTCCGGCCTAAGGTCATCCAATTCAAGCTTCAAGCCAGTCCTTTTCAACCTCCCCCTACTGAACATATAAGTGAAGCACTGTATGTATTTGTCATGAGATAAACACATCTGCGGGCTTCCCTGGTGGTGCAGTGGTAAAAAAAACCTGCCTGCAGGAGATGTGGGTTGCATCCCTGAGTTGGGAAGATACCTGGAGAAGGAAATGACAACCTACTCCAGTATTTTCGCCTGGGAAATCCCGTGGGCAGAGGAACAAGCTGGGCTACAGTCCATGAGGTCAAGAGTCGGAGGTGACTTAGTGAATAAACAGCAACAAATACATCTGCATCCAGACTTAACTCACCTTTGTATTACCAAATCACCAATTTAGGCCTTTCTAAGAGCTCTAAATTCCTATATCTAAGTGCCTGCTGGAATACTTCATGGTAATGGTCACAGGGCCCACCACTGAACTTATTCTTAAATTCATCATCTTCCTTCTATACCAATCCAGCCCTTTGTCCTAATTTCATATCTCAGTTAAGGATACTACATCGCCTGAGTTAGAAATCTGGGAGTTACTAATGTGACCATCATTACTACTGTTCACCAAATATTTCCAAATTTCCTTCTGGCTACATAATAAAATTCTATTTCTTTTTTTCCTTGAAGTTAGGTATGGCTGTGCAATTTGGTCGAGTAAATATGAGCAGGACTGAAATGTATTCCTATTCAGGAGCTTTAAGGGTCATTGCTCCCTTCTGTCCCTCTGCCACAGTGACCAGCAACATCAAAGAGATGGGTGGCTGACACATCAGCTTCATCACCAACCCCATCAATTTAGTGTAAGAAATAATCTTGTTTTTATTAAACTACTGAGATTTATGGGTTGTTTCCATCCTTGATCCTTCTTCCTTCTTTTTCATCCAATTGGTCTTTATATCCTAGGAAAATGGCCTCCCAAGTATTTGTCACATTAATTCTTAAAATTCAACATTCCAAAAACTAAGATCATGGTTTCCAGTCCCATCACTTTCTGGCAAATAGATAGGGAAACAATGTAAACAGTGACAGACTATTTTCTTGGACTCCAGAATCACTGTGGACAGTGACTTGCAGCCATGAAATTAAAAGACACTTCCTTCCTGGAAGAAAAGCTATGAAAAATCCAGACAGCACATCAAAAAGCAGAGACATCACTTTGCTGACAAACATTCGTCTAGTCAAAACTATGGTTTTTTTCCAGTAGATCGTGTACAGATGTGAGAGTTGGATCATAAAGAAGGCTGAGTGCCGAAGAACTGATGCTTTCCAACTGTGGTGCTGGAGAAGATGCTTGAGAGTCCCCTGGACAGCAAGGAGATCAAACCAGTCAATCCTAAAGGAAATTAACTCTGAATATTCTTTGGAAGGACTGATGCTGACGTTCCAATACTTTGGCCACCTGATGCGAAGAGCCGACTCATTGGAAAAGACCCTGATGCTGGGAAAGATTGAGGGCAGGAGACAAAGGGGGGCGACAAAGGATGAGATGGTTAGATGGCATCACAGACTTAACAGACATGAATTTGAGCAAACTCTAGGAGATAGTGAAGGACAGGGAAGCCTGTTGGGCTGCAGTCCATGGGAATGCCAAGAGTCAGACACGTCTGAGGGACAAAACAACAAATTCTTTCAGTACTCTCATTATCAAGGCTTTCATTCAAGTCCTTATCATTTCTCACTGGAATTACTGTAATGGCTCCTAACCAATCACACTGCCTCCAATCTCAACTCTTTATTTAACAATCTTCCACAAAAGCTGTTAGGATAATCTTTCTAAACCCTAAATTTCTTCATGTCATGCTTAAATTTCCTCAGAGACATCCTTCTCTTCTTGCCTCATCATTTAAAAAATCCAGGCATTAAAAATACTTGCTGTTCCCAGGACACATTCTGAACCAACAGAGCCATCTTTGTACATGTTGTTTCATTTGGCTATGATGTGCTCTTACTTCCCTTCCACTTTTCTTCAAGGCTCAAGTTTCTAAGTCTTCTGGGAAGTCATTTCAAAACATCAAGCTAACTAAGTACCCTCTTACATGTGCTACCAAGACATCCTATCTATTTTCAGCAGTTCCCTTGTGTGAAGCCACAGCTGATCAATCACAAGACACAGGGGCCCATTTCACTGGCGAACCCAAACCTGTAATTTGGGAGGCCTGACCAAATGGACCTGAACAACCATTCTCTCCCGGGCTGGAAAGTCATTTAGAGTGAGGGTTTGGGCCAGATGCCAGATGAGTGAGTACAGAATAGGTCTGCAGAGAAACTGAGCAGATAAAACAGAAACAAACCGAGCTGACAATAAATCCTGACAGGAAGAAGCAGAGTCACTTTGGATGCTGGTACCCTTCTGGTTCCCAGTCCCAGTTTCCATGAGGCCTAGTCTATATTTTACTACTTAGGGAAATCTTCATCTTCTTAACAATGTCTCTTCCCGAGCCAGATTAGTAACACCTTCTGTCCTTGGCACCCCCCCAAAAACAAAAATCTATGACAAGGAGCTAAGGCGGCCCTAAGCAATTGCAACAAGTATAATCTCTTTTAGCACTTGAAGAAACTAACAAGCTACCACTGAAACTACACTTCCTAAATTGACAGATCCTTCTGTAAAAGAATGGAAACCCAAATCATCACTGTTGTAAACTACAAACATTTCCAAATACCCCTACTTGAAACTCACATCATTTCAAATTTAAAACGTCCACAGGAATAAGAAATGTGGGACTGGTTAGTAAACCATATGCTATGGAGGTTTCAGAAGCCCAAACTTGGTTACAAGAGGCCAGTCTGTTCTGAGCAGCATCACCATCAAAGAATGGATCCTAGCGCTAAAAGCAGTTTTCTTCACGATCTCCAACTACCTTCCTCAAATGGAGAGTAAGATCAACACAGTATCTGCTTTATAAAAATGTAAACACACAAGCTTTTCAGGAGTAGTGGCAGCACTACTTTATTTTGAACATTATAAGCTAAAAAGACACAGCGTGTGTGCAAGCTCAATAGTTTGGAGTCACGTCTGACCCTGTGACCCTGTGGACCATAGCTCACCAGGCTCCTCTGTCCATGGGGCTCTCCAAGCAAGAACACTGGAGTGGGTTAACATGCCCTCCTCCGCGGATCTTCCCAATCCCAGGGAACCAACCTGAGTCTTCTCGGTCACCTGCATTGCAGGCAGATTCTCTACCGACCGAGCCACCTGCGAAGCCACAAAATGATACGGTGGCAAGCCTAAACACAGATATCTCAGCAAACGACTTTGTATCTGTATTTATAAATGAATGTATTTCCAAACGGAGAAGGCAATGGCACCCCACTCCAGTACTCCTGCCTAGAAAATCCCATGGACAGAGGAGCCTGGTGGGCTGCAGTCCATGGGGTCGCCCAAAGAGTCGGACACGACTAAGCGACTTCACTCTCGCTTTTCACTTTCACGCATTGGAGAAGGAAATGGCAACCCACTCCAGTGTTCTTGCCTGGAGAATCCCAGGGACAGCGGAGCCTGGTGGGCCGCCGTCTATGGGATCACACAGAGTTGGACACGACTGAAGTGACTTAGCAGCAGCAGCATATTTCCAAATCTCATATTTAGATCTTCCTTTCTAGTATATCTATGCTGTTAAGTAAAGTTTACTTTGTAAAAAATTAAATACGAATATCATTACAAATGTAATTCTGACCTACAGTTTTAATTTTGAAAAGGGGTTACATATGATACTGGTTTAATATTTCTCTAAAGATATTTCTCTAAAGAAAGTAACAGTACTTAAATACAGCAGATTTTATATTGACCTCATTTGTTAAATCAAGTTTTGTTTTTTTTAAAAAGTTCTACAATTACTTTTCAAAAAAAATAATCAGAATTTTTCACTGAGAGTTTAATGCAAAAATCACAGAACCAACTTTTTGAGCATCAGTTAAATTTCTTGGACCCTAACTGGTTATCTGGGCTTCCCAGGTGGCGCAGTGGTAAAAAATCTGCTTGCCAATGCAGGAGCCACAGCAGACTCAAGTTCAATCCCTGGGTCAAGAATATCCCCTGGAGTAGGAAATGGCAACACACTCCACTATCCTTGCCTGGAAAACTTCATGGACCGAGGTGGGGTAACAGTCCATGGGATGGACATGACTAAGCATGCACACACATAACTGGTTACCTAATTTTTCATTAAACATGGTGATAGCACTGTACAATCTTTAAAAAAAAAACTCAATGTGGTAACACTATGATTTTCCAATACTTTATTATATTTCTAGACATCCTATGAGAATCCATCAAAAAAGATACAATGCAAAGCATGGACAAAGTATGTAGTTTTATGTATGAAAATATTAACTGATACATAATAATTTCTCAACAGGTCTCCAGTGATACTTTGGATGGCACAATTCTGCTTTCTATAAGACTTCCTTATGATTTACTGACACCCACTAAATGCCAGAGGCCCTCCAATCACTGTGGACAATCAAAAATACACATTTTCAAATACTTTTAGCTAAAACCCAATGACAATTTCAAATACACACATATACACTTGAGACTTTAAATATTACAATAAATAAAACACAGCAATATGAAAAATGCGTACTATGGGCTGAGTGAAAAAAGTTGACAGTAACAGCGTATATATTCTTCTGACTACACGAGATTAAGATAAGGGCTTCGCAGATAGCTCAGTCGGTAAAGAATCTGCCTGCAATGCAAGAGACCCCAATTCAATTCCTGGGTCAGGAAGATCCACTGGAGAAGGCATAGGCTACCCACTCCAGGGTTCCTGGGCTTCCCTGGTGGCTCAGCTGGTAAAGAATCCACCTGCAATGCAGGAGACCTGGGTTTGATCCCTGGGTTGTGAAGATCCCCTGGAGAAGGGAAAGGCTACCCACTCCAGTATTCTGGCCTGGAGAATTCCATGGACTGGGACTGTATAGTCCATGGGGTCACAAAGAGTCGGACAAGATTGAGTGACTTTCACTCAACTCATTCATATTAAGATAAATGCATATAAAAAGGATTGAAGGGAAACATATGGAAATGGAAAAAGGCTTTGATAGGGCCCTAGGGTCACTGGCAGTGTTTCATTGTCTCTATTTTTCATAATGTGACTATACAGGTTATACTTTTAGCTAATTGACAGCTTTTACCTTATCAGTGCCTTTTAAGACCAGAGACGTAAAGAAAACCCGCAAGCCAAAAAAAAATCAACACGGGGTTGATGGTAGAAATGAGACTAGGATTACCCTACAGGTATTATGCACTTGAGTGGGCAAAGGAGAACTTCTAGGGCGCAGAGAATCCTATCCACGTGCTGGATGTGTTCACTTTGTGAACATTCATCAAGCTGTATACCCTTATCCATGCACTTTTCTACACATCATACCTCTATAAAGAGCTTACTGAAAAAAAGACAAAAATGTATTACCATTGTAAGTAGGTTTTCAAGATGTGTGAGATTCATTCAGTACTAAACAGTACTAAACTGTACTAAAATAGATAGTCTGGATATTTGTCATCTAGCAGCACAAGTAAGAATTTTTAATATTTACAATGAATGTCTACTCCAATTCTTAAATGTTTAAATAGAAATTGAATTACGGCCTCATGCCAAAAAAAAAACTTAATTTAAAATCTGAATTTTCATATTAGCAATTGCATCCTTAAAATGTAAACGAGAAACTATTCTCACATTCTATTAAAGAAATATAGTTCCAAATTTAAAACAAATCAATTTCTACTAAGCTTCCAAAGATTAATCATAAAATACTGTTTCCACAACACTGAAAAAAGAATTCTGTCTTCAAAACACCTACTACTATTGCATACTTACACATTTCAGCCCAAATTTGCAAACAGAATGTAAGGACCAGATTATGACAACTTAACTATAGAGCAAACAGAAAACACACTACTAGAAAAGCATGTTAATACTTGTGAAAAACAGGAATAGGAACTGCAAATATAGAATAACTGGTCAAAGATTTTGCCTGGCCTAGATGTATTACATTTATGCTACAATTTTGCAAAATGCATTACAGTTGGTGACACAGTAACTCTGTATCAATGCACTGTTTAAGTAACCAGTTTTTTTATTCCCTTACACTTTTAAACTCCAAGCAACTAACATCTGATTTCAAAAAATAGCCCATTTTACTAAATGTCAGTTAACTGGCAGCATGCTGCCACCCAAACACATTTTTCAACCATGTGAGTGGGGTCATGTTCACAATGAAGAACATTCTGTGATATATTTCTTCTGCCCATAAGACACATTACCACAACCCTGAAAGCAAGGTTAGTTTACAAAGGTTTATGTACAAAATATTTTACTATTTGATTCCAATTCATTCAGAATACAGCAACCCTCCAAACAGTTCTCAATTTTTCAGAAATGTCTTGAGTGTCTAAATGAAGAGAAAGCTTAAAGCACTTTCAAAAGTTATATAAGATAGCCAAAGCTATATATGTGATGATGAATCAATAAAGATGCACGTGCACCCACTTATGAACTATTTTTGGCAAAACTGTATTACTGAATCTATTCAGGTGCAAACAATTTATATAGCCAAGATAAGTCATTTTACAACACAAACTACAAGACCAAATATCAATTTCATGAAAAACTTTCAAAAAGATGATTGGGGGGAAAAAAGGGGTGTGAGGGGGCAGAGGGGGAGTAGTCCTAGATTAAAGAAAACAATCAAACCTACTGAGTAATCTCGGATTATTTGTAGATCAGAAAAAGGAAATGGAGAAAAGGCGTTGGTTGACAGACTAACTGAAAAAATTTAGATGTTATATATTGTCAATGTCAAATTTCTTGGCTGCATTAACAGGACTGTGGTAAAGCAGGAGATGTACATAAGAGATCCACATTTAAGTGTTGAGGAGTGAATAGTCAAGGGATGTGGGTTGATGGGTGTGTGTGTACAAAGGTGGGGAGAGGGAGACAGAAATCTGTGGCTAACTATAAATCCAAATTAAGGGAACATGGGAGTTATTCTTTCAGCATTTCTGTATGCACGAAATACTCTGAAACAAAAATGAGAAGAAAAATTTAAGTAAAATTTAAAAATCCAAACACCAACTTTTATCACTGTCTGTGCAGTAGCAATGCGGTATAGTTAGAAAACTAAAGAAAAATAGATCTACACGCATCACTATGAAATACCCCAAAAAATCAAACACAATTTTTTTAAAAAGAGAAATCTTAGGCAACTACTAACCCTTTCTTCAAAAGATTTTGACAAAATGAACAAAACACTGAGAAATTTTCATATTCTGGACACTAGTTTTTAAAAGTTTATGCCCGTAAGAAAATAAACAACCCAGAAACCTCTTACAAATTTTGTGAGCTGATACTATCGTACAAGGGAAATCTTACTTCAAAGTACACTACCTGGGAAGTGTCTGAGAACAGGGAATGCCATCCCAAATCTGGACTTCTAGAAGTATACAGCAGGAATAATCCTGCACAGATTACTGTTTTTTCTGAAAGGTTTAGGGCAGTGTGACCTTCTAGGAGGAAATTTTAATCCGATGCCAAAAGGGTGAACAGACATGAATCTTTAACAAGATGGATGGGCTCGGTTAGATTAACCTCTGAAGATGCTATATTTGTGAACACAGGCCTAGGGACCCTAATTCTATTTGTCATCAGCCGCAGGTTTCCCTGTCGGCAACAACGGCCCGACACTGAGGCCCTAAGAATCGGACAGTTTCTCAGACGCAGTCTCCGCGATTTTCCATTGCAAAAACCCCATCAGGCGCTTGCCATGAGGACTATTCCGGGCCCACCTGCGGCCATCTTAAGTTAGGGAAAAAAACGGGGGGAGCCGGGCACTGAATTCGAGGACTCGGCGACGACCACTGGCCGGGAGGCACGAAAAGGCAACCCCTCTTGTCCTTTGTAAGGATTCTGTACAAAGAATCCCCCCGAAATGTCGACTAACAAGGAAAACAGAAGCCGGGGGCTGGGGCCGCGGTGCCCCAATCAAACATGGGCACCAAGGTAAACCCGGTGGTCACGTGACGGGGACAGCGCGCCCCCGTCCGCGCTCTCCCCCACGCCTGGGTTCCCGAGGTCTCGCTCGGGCCCGCGCCCCTCCCCCAGTCGAGCTCGAGCACTTACTCGGGCGGGTAGAGCCGCAGCTCCTCGATTTCTCCTAGGAAGGAAAAAAGCGTCCGCATCTGCTCGCTCGTCACCGCAGAGGACAGATTTGTCACCTGAATCACCGCCGTAGGGGTGAGGCCGAAGCCTAAGCCCAAGCCGAAGCCGCCGGCGCTGTTCATCCTGATCCGCGCTGCCGCTGCCTCCCTCCCCAACGTCTACAACGCGTCAGCGACGGAACCGGGAAAGCGGAGATCGCGCGGCCGCGAGCGCGCTCCCGCTGGCGAATTCACGGCAACGGGCAGGTCTAGCCGCCCATTTCACAACTCCCCTGCTCTCCGGGCTGCGCGCGCCAGCCGGAAGCGTCGCCCTGGCAACCCAGCAGATCTCGCGAGGCTGCAGCCTGGAGCTCCCGGGTGTGTAAGGCTCTTGGTCCTGCTGCACTTCTCCCCGCCAAGATTTTGATTGAGGGTTTCCCTCCTACGACTCCATCAAATTCTTGTTCTCCTGTAAATACAAGAGACCCACCTCTATGCAGTCTTTATAGTAGCTAAGACTGGGAAGTCAAGAGGCCTGCTGGTGCAAAACTGTTAAGAAGGAATGACTCGAGCATCGCAGATAAATACTTGGCTGAACTATAACGTGTCAGTGTCATATTCACGCAGCTCCTCCTCCCCACCTAAAAAAACAAGTTGACCGGCGTCCTATTCATGAAAAAACTTAGAAAGTTTTACGAAACATGTAAATTTAGACGGAATTAAGGAAGAAAGCAATATGATGAAGGCTATGCGGTTGTTTGTAACATTTTTTAGTTCATTCCGCAGGTATTAATATTTGAGTGTTAAGTACCGGACAGACACGAACACATTAAGGACAGTTACAGACGATCCATCCAGACTTTGCAACCTAACGAGACACAAGTAACAGTAATATGTGAAAATAGGGCAGCTGTTCCCAAAATGCCATCCGCAAAACCTGGAAGGTCCCCAGGGGCCTTTTCAGTGAATTTGTGAGGGCAAAACCATTTTCACAATATAAAGGCTTGATTTTCTTCACTTTGTTGAGGATTGCACTGCTGATGTGAAGCCAACACCTTAGCAGAAATCAAGGCAGTGGTGTCAAGCTGCGCATCTGCAGTGAGTCCGTCTATATATGAGCTTTTGAGTTACAAACTTTGCAAGATGCCAAGTGTCCGTGTATGCCAGCTATACTGGCAGTACTACTACACTTAGAAGGTACTGTGTTGTAAGATTTGAAATGTTTGTTTTTTATTAGTTTTTATGTATTATTTGTGCATAAAGTATTATAAACCTCTTACAGTACAGTGCTATATAGTCAACTGCATTAGTTGGGTACCTAGGCTAACTTTGCTGGACTTATAAACAAATTGGACTTAAACGCTGTTAGAACAGAACTTGTTCTTAATTGGGGGACTTACTGTAGTGGTATTTTGTATTCACCTCCTTGCACTCTTAGCATACACAATATATGATTATTTTTTTTTAATAAGCTAGTTTAATTTAAGGATGTCCTTGACAGACTTTCTGGTGGTCCAGTGGTTAAGAATCCGCCTACCAATGCAGGGGACATGGGTCCCTGGTGGGGAAGAGTCCACATGCTGTGGGGCAATAAAGCATTAACGCCAAAACTGCTGAGCCTGCGCACCCTAGAGCTCACGCTCTGCAAGAAGAAAAGCTGCCACAGTGTGAAACTCCTGCACCCAAAGTGCAGAATAGCCCATTTGCTGCAACTGGAGAAAGCCTACGCACAGCAATGAAGACAGCGCAGGCAAAAATAAATAAATAATTGTCCTTGACAAAGGAGTAAAAATTATTAATTTTACTAAATCTTCACCCTAGCATACACCTATTTTCTTTTTATAAAACCCTTTTTTTTTATTTCGTTTTTTTTTTTTTGGGTTTTTTTTTTGGAGAATTAGGGATGGTTAAGAGGATNGGGGGTGGGTGGGGCCTCACTGCACAGCATGTAGGATCTTAGTTCCTCAACCAGGAATCAGATCCACCTACCCCCTTCACTGGAAGCCCTGAGTCTTAACCACTGGACCGACAGGGAAGTCCCCCATCTCTTTTTAATATGTGAAGAATTGGGAAGTACTTCTGCTGCATGCCCAAGTAGGATGGACATCTCCAGAAAATGCTCTTGTGTGATTGTTGGAGTTTTCACTCAAAAATGCAAATTTTAAAAAATTTGTATCCACCATCTGGAGCTTGACAGCTTTCCAGTATTTAAACTTTCTGCTAAAAACACCAGTGATATTAACAAATGTGTTTTTTCACATTATATAGTGATTATAATTGACCATTTGAAAATCTCTATAGCCCAATAAAGCAGTTTTCAACAGAACCAATACATGCTATTACAAAATTAAAAAGAGTTATCAAAGTGGAAGATGGACCCATGGATTTTACTGTAACAGAATACAGAAAGTTAATTGATATGGTTTCGGATTCAATCCACATTGTAATTGCACTCTAGGAAACAATCACATGTCCAGTTTGGGATAGTTTTCAAACAAGATATCTTGTATCATCTAGAAAGACAATGAAAATAGTTTCCCCTTTTCCAACGACTTATCTGTGTGAGACTAGATTTTCTTCATATGTTTCAACCAAAACATATCACACAGATTGAATGCACAAACAGATAGGGAAATCCAGCTGTCTTCTATTAAGCCAGACATCAAAGAGCTTTGAAAAATGTAAAGCAATGCCACTCTTCCCAAAATTCTTTTTGGAAAATATCACTTTACCATAAAAATGCATAATTTAGCCCCACAGCCATTTGGGAGCAGGCTAAAAAATTTATCATTTATAAAAATTTATCATTTATATAAGTACATAATGGGTTTATAATTATTTTTAAATGGGGTTTTAAATATTAAATTTTACAGATTTAATTTCTAATATAAATATGTACAGATACCCCATAAATCTTTTAGGGTCTTCAATAATTTTTAAGAGTATAAAGGGGTCCTAACACCAAAATGTTTGAGAACTACCACCAGAGGGATAAACACAGGGAGAGATGGGCACATCCACGAAGGCAGCTTGAACTCAGTGCCAATGGAAGGCTCCCCCGAGAGATGCTGCTTGCACCTAATCTTGAACAAATAGGAATTAACCAGGCAAGGAGGGAGGGAGGAGCAGTGATGGACTCTAAACTGAGGTGAAGAATATGCAAAAATAGAAAGATATGAGAGCCAGGTGAGGTCCATAATATTCAAGGTTTAGTATTGCTGTCCAAAGGCTGAAGAATGACTAGAGATACATATGAAAGAACAAGCCTTCAGGAAAGATGCTGTTTGTCATGCCGAGAGGGTCCTTTATCACTAGTTGTTGGGAGCCACTGAAGATGTTTGAACAAAAGTGTGAATATATCAGATTCCTAGAGCGATTGCCATCACTTCGAAATGGAGATATGTTGAAAAAGATGGAAATGAGATAAAAGGGACTGGTTCAAAGGGCAATAAAAGCCATTGATTCAGAAAAATATATATGTACATACACTTGGTTTTAGATACAATTACAAGTGCTTTTTGATCTTCCTTAAGCCCAACAATGGATCCCAGGATTAACCACCACTTGTTAAGAACACTGGTCCTCAGACTTTCATGTGCATCAAAATCACCTGAAGGGCATGTTAAAACAGACTGATGGGGACTCCCCCTGTTGGTCCAGTGGCTAAGACTCTGAGCTCTCAATGCTGGGGCCCTGAGTTTGATCCCTGGTTGGGGAACAAGATCACAACTAAGACCCTGTGCAATCAAATAAATAAATAAAAACCAAAAAAAAACAGACTGATGGCTCCATCCCCAGATATTCTGATTCAGTACATCAGGGGACGGGGGGGAGGTTGCTGAAAATTTTAATTTCAACAAGTTCCCTGGTGATGGGGCTGCCAGTGATCCAAGAAACCCATTTTGAGCACTACTGGTTTAGAAGGTTATAAAACATTATTTAGTAGATTTAGTAATCTACCATTGATGGTAAAGCAGAGGGAGGAATTTGTTTCTGGCCTGAGGGACTGTGTAATAGTGCCATAGTTTAGGACCAGAAATAAAAAGGAAGAGCAGATTTGTAGAGAAGAGGGAATACTGAAATCCATCATGGACAAGTTCCTGAAATGAAATTTAAGAAAAATGTCTAGAACAAAGATAAAGTGAAAAAGTGAAAGTGAAGTCAGTCGTGTTCGATGCTTTGTGACCCCATGAACTGTAGACCACCAGGTTTCTCTGTCCATGGGATTTTCCAGGCAAGAATACTGGAATGGGTTGCCATTTCCTTCTCCAGGGGATCTTCCTGACCCAGGGATCAAACTCGGGTCTCCTGCATTGCAGGCAGACTCTTTACTGTCTGAGCTACCAAGTATGTGATTTAAAGTTGAAAGTAGATACAGTTAGCCAGGCAAGAGAAATGCATTGAGTAACATTAAAAGGACAAATACAACAACCAACCAAAACCAAAACCAAGCCAGGAGGAAAATTAGAAGGGAGGATAGTCACAAATGTTAAAGGAGGAAAAAGTTTTAATGGGAAAAAATGAAGAGAAGGGAGGAAAGAATGATTAAAAAGAGTCAAATTCTGCAGGGATAACAAAATCAGGAATAAAATGTGCCTATGTGTAGATATAATGTGACTGCTAAGGCAGAAACTACATGAACCAGTTTAGAGAAGCAAAGGTCGCAGTGTCACTATTACTTCCTCTGATTCATCTATGAATCTCTCAAAAGGGTATATAGTTAACAGCTGCTTAAGTAGGTATTCAAAAAGAGAAGATACAGTGTAAGTCTTTCCCAATCCCTGTTTCTCAGCCACCTAGTTTCCCTTTCAAGGGAGAATAAGTTAGATTGTTTATTTAACATTCCTCTTGGTCAGATACTTGGCTAGGTGCCTAATTGTTGTTGTTTAGTTGCCAAGTTGTGTCCAACTCTTTTGCAACTATGGATGCAGCCCTCCAGGCTCCTCTGTTCATGGGATATCCCAAGTCAGAATTCTGGAGTGGGTTGCGGGTTCCTCCTACAGTGATCAAACCCGCATCTCCTGCATTGACAGGCAGATTCTTCACATCTGAGTCACCAGGGAAGCCCTTAAGTTGCCTAATAGGTCCTAACAAAAAAAAAAATTTCAAAGTAACTACATCAAGGCTATGGCTTTTTCCAGTAGTCATGTATCGATGTGAGAGTTGAACTATAACTGAGCGCCGAAGAATTGATGCTTTTGAACTGTGGTGTTGGAGAGGACTCTTGAGAGTCCCTTGGACTGCAAGGAGATCCAACCAGTCCGTCCTAAAGGAAACCAGTCTTGAATATTCATTGGAA